AACAAAACTCATTCCATTTTCACTTGTCACTTCAGAGTTGAAGCTAACTTGTAATCTTTGTAAGTTAGTGTATATGTTAGCTTATATATGGCTGTAGGTAACAGCACCATGCCATGTAACGTCTATAAAAATTGTAACTACTGTAATTTAGAAACATCAAATTTTATTCCAGATTGGGTTGTAGACAGAGAAAAGGCCAGGAAAATAAACATATTCAATAAACACATTCAGATGGTAGCTCAAGSATAATTATGTTTTAGTAGAACTAAGGATTAATTTGTGCAGTATGAGTAGAGTAATATTGAATAAAAATATTTGGAAATTATTCTTTGGCCAAAGAAATCCCAGAAATAATATTCTGGCTCCACTCAAGTCAGTGTCGGAATGTGATTTAACTTCCATGGAGCTGAGACTTCACCTCAGCCATCTAATTACAGGAAATATGGCAGGTTACTTTCACATTATAGTGAATTAGCTATAAATTTGTACCAGTATTATGGTGAGTAAATTGGTATTTCTTCTATAAGCTCTCTCTTTTGCAGCTCCTGTATATCTTGCTTTCATTAATTAATAAGGAAATCTTGCTGAATTGGTACAAAGTTGTTGCTTCTGCATCAAGGAATATCCCTAGATCATCATTATTTGACAGTTATTACTTGGCATCATTACTTGATACAGCTCTAGAGAAGCACTGACTTGTATTTTTTTATGAGACACGTGGCCAAAAGGTTCATTGACTGAAAATGAATGTTTATTTCCATGTTTAATTATSAACAGAAATTAATATCATGAAATTATAAGAGAGAAACAGTTTTATTTACTTATGCATAAAATATGCAATTATTAGAACATTCTGAATCCATGGAAGATGTTCTGTGCTCCTTTTCACCCTTTTCAGTTCCTCATGGTTAGTAAAATTAGAAAAAGCCCCAAAATTAGAAATTCATAACTTAAAATGTACCTTGACCTGCAGTTGAAAGGGTGTTGCCAGCAGGTTGAGAGAGGTGGTTCTTCCCTCTTACGCAGCCCCGGATTGCTCTGCTGGATGGCAAAGCACTGGATTCAGCTCTGGGGCCCTCAGTACGTGAGAGATAGGGAGCTACTASAGCAAGTCCTGCAAAGGGTCACTAAGATGATGAAGAGCTTGGAGCATCTCTCGAATGAGAAAAGACTGGGAGAGCTGGAGACTTCAGCCTGGGCAAGAGAAGACTGTTGGGAGGAGCTCACCAGTTTGTATGAATGTCTGAAGGGAGAGCGTGAAGAGGATGGGGGCACGCTCTTCTCCATGGTGCTCGCTSACAGGACTAGAGGCAATGGGCACAAACTGAAACACAGGATGTTCTGTCTCGACATGAGGAAGAACTTCTGGACTATGAGGGTGAGGGAGCCCTGGAAGAGGTTGCCCAGAGAGATTGTTGGATATATTTAAAAGCCATCTGGACAGGGTCCTTGGCAATGTACTCAAGGTGACCCAGCTTGAGCAGGGGGGTGCAGTAGGTTACCTCCAGAGATCACTTCCAAACTCAAGTATTCTGTGATTCCATAGGGAGAAAGAGGGGAAAAAGTCTTTTCCTTAGCATGCAGTGTTATATAGAAGAAGTGGTAACACCCTCTTCTGTGATATTCGGAGCTAGACAGGGAAGTGGATAAGCTGTGATTTTTTGCATGCATCCTCAGCTGCCTCCACTTCTCCTTCATATGGCGTGAATACCTGGAAACAGGAATTGTTTTTATTTTAAAGTAGCAGGTGCTTCCCCAGCTGTTGCGGGTTCCGCCTGCCTAGTCCCTTCTGTCTCACAGCACCTGGGATTATTTCAGGGATCACTAATTTCTCCAAGGATTGTGCATGTGAACTGTCTTCCTAATTCTGTATTCATTGTTCCAGATTATGTTCTCCATGTCTATCTACTGTTTAATTTAAGACAATCTGCAAAATTCACCCTTCAGACCAAACTTGATACTGGGGAGAAAGGACAAGGACTTTCATGTCAGTGAGAGTTCAGCACTATTTCAAATGAGTATTTTATTCATATTGGTAGTCACTTGGTTTTGCGAGAAGCATCCACCGGTCTTCGTTCCCCACTCTGAGACCCATACAAATGGCAAAAGGAACAAGGGGCAGCTCTTTTCATCTGTGTCTTTCATAGACAGCTCCTTTTTCAAGGCATTTGTAAAGGTAGCCAACAAGGCCAGGATGTTGCTCAACCTGAAGCAAATAGGGAGACCCTAGCTGGGCAGCAAGAGCATGCAAAATGGCACCACGGGTGCCGTGGGTGCACAGCTGTGGTGCAGCAACACACTGGCAGTGCCCWGTGCTATGTAAACTGCCGCAAACAGGTTGATACTTTCAGGGAGAATATTTGGAGTTTAAAAACTGGCATGGCTCAGGCATATGAAAAGAACAGGGTAAGAGATAGTCTTGCAGACAGTCTTAAGAGACAGACCCTGGGAGAAAAGAAAGGGATTTGATTCACTACAGAATATGATTCATAGATCTTTCGGTGGTAGGATGCCATAACAATCTCTGCCTGTTTGACTTCTGCCCTGAGAGCGTTCATGTCAGGCACAGCTAGAGGCTGGAAGATGAGGAGGGCAAGTCACCACCTCATGTGTCAGGGCGTAACTGCTTACAGGTTCACTATCTCTTTTGGTGGGTGCCATGAAGGTGGTGATCGGGAGGAGACGGCTGTCGGAGAGGTTGTCAGGAGGTGACTGCAGCAAGTGCAAGGTATCTTTTCCTGTGGCCCCATTTTCTTTAACGTTGCCCTGCCTTCTGGCACATTGCCTGCATGGGGAGGAGGGTGGCAYTGAGACCTGCAAGTCCAAAGCTGAGAGTCACCCCCAACCTGAGCCACTTATGTGCAGTACCTGAGATGACTGTGCCCATAGGACATRGGAGGATTGGCGCAGGTTAAAAAATCAGCTTTGAAGCAAACGTTGTCCAAAAGAGAATAAGAAGAGCTGTCAAACCTGCAGTCCAAGCAAATGCTGGCTGACACCATGTTGGGACCCACTGCAGGTCAGCCCCAGCTCCTCTACTGAACCCTTTCCCACTGGATAGAGGTGCCATCCTGGAGAAATAAACCGATGCCTGGGCCTCAGCTGTGGTGCAGGAGCTTCCCCGAGAACATCCTGCCCTGTAGGTGTCCCGGATGCCATTCCACCTGGCTGGGGCAGGARTGGGCCGGACAGGCCTTTGCGTGGCTGGGGCAGGCAGGAGGGAACCCTCCCTCCTCCAGCCTGTCCGTCCCCTGGACCTGGGCCGGCACTTGGGCATTGCAGATGGGTGACAGCAGCTTGGCTGCTGCACGGGGCTGTCACTGGGATAACGGCTGCTCCTGGGGGTTGGTAAACGGTGTTAGTGTGTGTAAGTAACGTGTGTGGCCGGGCAGGCCTGTGGTCAAGGGCCGGACAGCGCGGGGGATGCGCGGTGCTGTGAGCTGCGTGGCGGAGCCGTTCCCTGCCCTTGCACAGGCATTTATGGTGCTGTCCAGCCACGCATGGTGGCATACAAAATCCCCCGTGGGTTTGGTGGGGTGTGCTAACGCATGGGGCCTCACACCTGGAAAATCTGGTTGTAGAGAAACACTTGCATTAGACTGTCTAACCGCACCCACTAGGAAATATCCCACGCGGAGTGCTTAGCAAGAATTCCTGCCCGGGAATATCTCTGCCTGCCTCCACAGTTTGGATCTACAGCATGAGAATTGCTCTGCTGCTACATCATTGAAGTATTTTGTGAGTGTGTGCTCCGTGATCTTTACTCATGGAWTAAAACTGGGATCCTGTAAATTCCCCGCGTTTTGCTTTTCTCTTCAGAGATGGCTTAGGCTGAGTGAGCTACTAAGGCTTGCATCACTACTGACCTAACTAAAGCAGCAAAATAGCTAGAAATCCAAGTGTCTCTATGCTCCTATTTAAAGTTTCAGATCAGCTGTTTTGATCCTATTTCTGTGCATCGGTCTTCAAAGTGCAGTGACAAAATAAGTGCCTTCGTTGTGGTGTGCTCATTGCTTGGGTGCCCGGAGTACTCAGCTTTGCAGCAGATCCACAGCACACGCAGGCAACGACAGAACCTCAGTTTGTTCCCAGGCACCACCACCTAAAATAGTCTCATAACATTTCTTGTGGATGTCTGCAGTTGAAAAACATACTGGAATTGTGTAATGCAGAGAAAGGAGAAAAACTTAGTRCTTTCATTATAAAATTAGTTAAACTGTAATTGGGTAAAAATATGCTTAAGAGCTGAAAATTTGGCAATTGGAACCATTCTTAATATCTGAACATCCTGTTAAATGAATTTACTATGAAACCTTCARCTTCAGTTTTGATTAGTTTGAATTCAGCTCACCTTGGCAGTTATTTTTTCTATTCCTCTCCATTCCTCTGAACCACAAGAAGTATTTTTTTCTTACTGCTGTCCCACAGTAATTTATCTCAACTAATAAAAATAGTTTTTATATTTTTTTTTACCACAGCCACTACACTTTCTTTTTTACTGATTGTTTGGGAGGAGTTATTAAAATACTTCATTTAAATTGCTTCCAGAGAGATGTTCAGCGAGTCATCCATACTGCTAGCATTGACACAATACATTAAATTGTTAAAACAGGCTTAATCTGGCAGGCCCTGACACTGGTAAATTTTGCTTAATCTTAAATGAGGTAATTTTATATAGTTTTATTTTTCACATTGACATTGTCATTTGCAAGCCGTAATCATTTTCTTGTTGCTTGTGATGCTATAGTGCTTTTAGTAAGGGCTGATCACTACACACAGAGGAAGAAAGACATGGTCCCTTCATGAAAACTTAAGTCTTTACGTAGAGAAGGCAGAGAGAGGGGACCCTGGAGAGTGACATGATTTCCCAAGGTTGCACCACAGGCCCTCAGCAGAAAAGTGGAATCCAGATCACCGGAGCCTCCACGCTGGAGTTCCAGTATCGTATCCAGCGGACCATGCTGCTTCTTAATAATGTTTCTCTTGTTCTTTCTTTATAGTTCGGGATCGGGTACGATCGAAAATGGAGAGAGATATTTTGGCAGAAGTGAATCATCCTTTCATAGTCAAGCTTCATTATGGTAACTATAATAATATATGTCATGTTTGTTCCTGGATCGGTTGGGGTCTTGTAAATGGATTTATTACACTTTCATGCAGATGCGCCCTGTCTCCATGAGACACCATCTCTAACAGAACCATAGAGGTTACCTGTGTGAAATACTTCAATTATGCTAAAGGAGGATTTCAATATAAGTAGGTCTTAGCCTCTATCASAATACATTTGTTGTAATGTCATATATTGTGCTGATAGGTTAGTGGAAAAGCTACTGAATATATATCTGATAACCCCCTCACCTACTGTCAAGAATCATTTGGGAAACCAGAGACTCTAAATGAAACCTTATTTTAATAACTAGCATTGAATTTGTATACATGAATCTGATGTCTAGGCAGCCTAACCAGCTGAGTTCCCCATCATTAGTGTAAGGGTTTTGGAAGGGTGTTTTGGGTAATGCRGGCCCTCTTCTTGAACAGATAGAGGAGCTTCACTCTGTGCCTAGCCCTCAGTTTCTGGCACTTTGGAAAGTGACAGTAATTCAGACGCACTTAGAATGTGGAACAATATATTAATAATGCATCTTTGTCTCCCAAATGATACCATTTTCCCCCATAGTTTAAGATAATTTACTTAATTGTGTAAAGAAGTTGATTTTTTCTGTTCCCTAAGTAAGCASTGAAGTGACAAGAGAGCTGGTGGCACGAGCAACACACAGTTAGTTCATGTTTTGTTCTTTGGAGACTTCGTTTTGATTCCAACTTCTCCATCCTTTTCTAATGCAGCATTTCAAACTGAAGGAAAATTGTACCTAATACTGGATTTCCTGCGGGGAGGGGACCTTTTCACCCGACTCTCCAAAGAGGTAAGCTGATAGATTTTACTTCAGAAATGAACAGCTATCCTGGATTTTCAGAACTCAGATGAAGTTGGTGGGAGTGGCAAAGAGTCTTGGAAGTCAAGTAATAGAGCGGTATCATCTTGCATCTTTAGGGAGGCTCATGTGTTTCAGTTATGAGTAATGCAACAGACTGCATGACAGCATCACCTCTGTAGAAAACTGCACCATTTACCAAGTTGTTTCCACRGCAAAGTAGTTTCAGACTCATTGCTTGGAAAATATAAATTGGCTGTGATGAGAAATAGCCTGAGAAATCCATCCCCAGTACATGTTGCCAGGGGCATGAGCACAGAAGTCCACTAAAAACACAAGCACTGCCAGCAGAAAGCAGAGGTGGCCCCAGGTTGGTGCTGGGGCCATGTCTGTGCCCAAGGGGTCACTGCTTGGTGTCACCAACATAAGGACTCTCGGCTTTCTTGGTCCCTCTGTAGACTGAGGAGACAGGGGATGCCAGAAAGCACCTCATAGAATCACAAAATGGTTGAGGTTGGAAGGGACCTCTAGAGATCATCTAGTTCAACCCCCCGCTCAAACAGGGACACCCAGAGCACCCACACCTAACATAACATCTTAAAAATATATGATAGCGATGCTTCAAACGCTATTTTGGGGAGAAGCTGTATTTGAACTTCTTTTTTTTTTTTTTTTTTTTGATAGAGAATTTTTGAGCTTTTTTTTGAGAATTCTGAGAATTTTTTTGAGAAAGCTGTATTTGAGCTCCCTTTTTCTTTTGAGAATTCTGCCTCAGAGCAATGGCAGGAATTGCAGCAACATGTTGCAGACTGGAGGGGCTGTGCACTGCGAACTGCAGTGGGTGCTGTGCCTTCAGTCCTGGTTGGCCTGTAGGGGAAAGGACAACAGGTAATTGCAATGCCAAATAATGATATTTATGTAAGTTCTTAGTATGTGGTAGCAATTACTTTTAATAGCAGGGAAAAGATTAAGGAAACAAAACTAGTTTTTTCCTGTTTGTCATGAAATCAGTCTTTGTCAATGTCATGGCATGCTGTCATAGGAAGGACTTCTCAAGGTTTGTTAGAGAAGGAGGCATTCTCATCTGCCCAAGGTAGTTACACTTTCTGAACAATTAGAGGACTTTAAAGCTAAAGAGAGCAACCCCAATTACAACCACTCTTAAAAGGTCAGAGTTTTCCAAACCTTTTCCAATGTATTGATTTCTGTCCTTCATACTATCAAGAAYTGATCCTCTGAACTTGACAGATGTGACACATTTCTCTTCTCAGGGTTTGCATTCATCTTGTCTGCCTGTAACTTGTAACTGCTCCTGCCAGGGTATCACAAGGGGAGACATTGTAGGAAAATGTGTACAGGCTGCAATGGACTAAATCCGTTAATTATGGGCTTATTCCACTTGTACTGATTTCAGTSAGTGTGCAGCCGGATCCCTCATATATAGAAAACTTTGTTTCAGATTTGCAGAATGTTTCTGAGATGTCTGATTTCTTTTGAAAAGTATAGATTGGATTTTGCCTGATTCTACTAATTTAATTTCATATCTATGTTATTTACTTTTAAGCCTTACAATAATTTAAGTTTATTTTGATGTCTGATGCCATTTTTTACGTTCTAGATCAATTATTTTTAATCAAAATTTTCTTACATATTCTTACTCCTTCTGATCTTTGCAGATATTCTTAGTTAAGATATGTGACATCTGCCTGTTCTCTGTTTTTGTTCTCAGCCTTCTGCAGCTTCTCAGAGTACTCAAATATTATGGCTGCTGCTTTCCAAGAGTAGAGGCTTAATTAAAAAAGAATAGCAATAGCTTCTGCTGTAGATATTTACATTTGTAGGTGACGTGTAGGTTTCTATTGAGATGATCATTTTACCTCTGTCATTTGTAATATTCATGCTTGTATATGCAACATTTAAGCTTCTCCTCCTGCATTGTTTTGAGGTGAAGAGAAGTTGATATCTGGGATGTAATTAAGGTTAACTAAAGGGTTTTTGTGCTGTCTGCGCTCAATTTTCCTGTTACAGAAGTTTCTTTCCAGCTAAAACAGAGCCTTGAGTGTTTGTGCTAGCCATGTTAGCTGTAGGAAAGAAACAACTGCCGTCCGTCTTCATCTCATCCAGCTCCATATGTTAGGTAGCACATCACTGCTTAGGGTGTCTACGCTGAGGTATCTAAGGCTGAGCCCAATGTCCTGGTCCCTCATATACTGCATCTGCATTCCCAGGTTCCCTTTCAGAGCAGCTCTATTAGTTTTCTTAACGCTAAACCAGTTGCAASCACTAGCAGCTCTTTTGCCCAAGGCCTGCGTCTTGCCGATGTTTTGGACAAGGACGTGGCAGGTTTGTTTCCCGCACAGTCCTCCAGCAAAGGTGCTCTCACACATTCTCCTCTGTAGTGCAGGTCATTTAACACACAGCCTAATTGCACCCTGCACAAGCACCATGCTGGAGAGTGCTGAGACGCAAGGCCAGGTACTTTTTCCTGAAAAAAATAACAACATAAGTCTGTGCTTTGGGACTCCAGGATCGCAGCGCGGACTGTCTGTATCTCAGGATGCAGGGCACAAGGGAGACCCAGGCCATCTACTCCATGGTRTGAAGGAGGCTAGCCAGCTCTGAACAGGATTAACCCTGAGCAGAGTAGCTGCAAGGCACTCCCACTCTTGTCTAGAAGCCAGGTATCGTACTTGGTAGTCGGAGCATGAGTGCARTGGCCACTGAAGGCCCTGGAGAGACTTTCCGTGAGTCCTCAACGAGTTTTAAATCAATCTCTAAGTCTCTCCATGCTGTATATTCTGTTCATATTTGGGAATTAAATGTACTTTAATTTCTAAAAGAAGTATTTCACTTCCCCACAGAGGTTTCTGCATCTTATTTTGTGGGAAATTGGGAACCAAATGCCAAGTTTTTCACAAATTAAGATACATGAAAGCAATAAGAGCAGTGCTGAGTATATTGAGTTTTGCGATTCATTTCAAAAGGCTAAGGAATTGGGACCTTATTATGTTAACATGACATCATCTAAACAGATCAAGTGTATGAATGAGAGCAACATGCTTTAAAGAATGGAGACAAATACTTGAAAGTTTGAATTTTGTTTTAAAAGGAGAATCTGGAAAGAATTCTTAATGTGAGCATAGACAAATCATGGAAAATTGAACCTGATATGATGATCATTCCAGCATTCATGTGTTAGACAATTCCTTCCCCATCTCTGTTTAACGCAAGCCAGCCTACCTTTATCTAATAAATACACATGTTCTTCTTTTCTTTCTCTCTAGGTGATGTTTACAGAAGAGGATGTCAAGTTCTACCTAGCTGAGCTGGCCTTGGCTTTAGACCACCTCCATGGTCTTGGAATTATTTACAGGGATCTAAAACCAGAGAAGTAAGTTAATGAATAGGAGAGAATTGTAACATAAGTATGTGAACTTTTAGGTCATTTATGTGCCTTGGCATGCTAGTAAGTCAAAAGATACTAAAGACTATTCTTCCTGTATGTAAGGATAGATCTGTGATCTAAGACTTTACATGGGCATGTTGAAGTATTGAAGTAACAAGTGTACATTGAGATAGAGGTTGAGGCAGTGGTGTTACAAGCCAGTGGTATTATGAGCACCATTATTTAGGGTGACTCAGTAAGACCTGGGAAACCCTGTGCTGTCCACACCAGAAATACTGCAATCTGTTTGCCAGCCAAATATTTTTAACTCTAGTCCAGTGTGATCTGGGCTGTGCGTGCGTGGCCTTATTTTAATGAATGATGTCAGTGCGGGATCTCTGTGCCTTTGTCTTGAGTAGCACTCATCTAGATTTGCCCTGAGTAATCCATTTTTCCTGTTGATGCTGTATAAACTGTTCAATGCAACCCCACTTCCAGCTGAAAGTACCCCCTGGCACGGTGCAGTTTTATTACTGCTGTTGGTTAAAGGAAATGAGCATCTCTGAATAGTAGTGTTCAAACTAGCTCAGGAGAGACATAATAATCAGCAATTTAAAGGACTTTGATCAACTGTCCCAAATATTTTCCCAGGAACAATTCAAGCTTATATATGCACGTATTTGCTGTTCCTAATGGAATACAACAGAGGTTTTTCCCTTTTTCTTTACATTTCTTCAATAGACTAAATGACATCCACAGTGCTATGACTGAGAATCGTGTGATGCTGTTTTTATTCTGTTCCATTTGACTATTGAATTGCCAACAKTTTTTTTGTGCCAGCTCAGATAAAATCTGCTGCAGCATTTCAAAGTTATTACCTTTTTAGTGAAATGGTTGCCATCATTTAAAAGGATGATCACTGTGAAAGGTCAGTTTAGCTGTTGTTTACACTTTTGAAGTTTAACAGCAGAGCAGCCTCTTCCCTTTTGTGACATGTAATTTGCTTTCATGCTTATGGGCAAAATAMAACATAAAGAGCAAACTGAAGCAGGATTTTTTAGGTAAAAAAGTTGAATGGGAGGAAACTATTTGTCTACAAAACTGTGTGATTTAAACTTTAAATTCTACTTTGTRTTTATGTTTCAATAGTAACAGTTGTAGTAGTATATGCACTCATACAGATTGACATAAGCAAAGCCCTCAGTCCTTTGGGCTAGAACCCTTTCACAGTGGGAAATTTCCACTCCTGTGTCTGTAACTGAAACTGAAGACCAGAATCTTCATCAAATRCAGGAAGTCATCCTCTCACTCAAGCAACTAGAGGAATAACATGTCACACCGTAGTTGCCATTGCCATCATTGTCTGCTAGAAAGCCTTGGGTTTCAACTTCGTTCTGAGTTTTTCTTTTATACATATTTGCCAAGCAGCATGAACAAACATGCATGTTACAGAGTTAGAGAAGCTAMAATTTCAATAAATTATTTGCAGTTGTTGGCTTGTCCCGTTCTCARTAGCAGGCTCGGGATTACTGGCACATCCTTTCCCCCTGCCCTCTCTCCTRCAGGTCAGGGAATCCAGTTATTGCTTCAGGAGTCAGTCCTCCAAGGCACCGGRTCATTCTCCTTGCTCCCTTTGGCTTTTCTTCTTCCCTATCTCTCTTGAAATACAATATCCAAAATTTTACATGCATCTTCAGGAGCATTTCCAGTCTCACTGGGGCTTAAGATTTATTTCTGATTTGTAGACCTGCTGCCAGAATCAGAGAGACATTTCTGCTGCTTTGTGATTTCTCACCTCTTTTCTTTCCATTTGTTAAAAGACAGGCACTGCTTTCATCCTTCTTTGATTGTTCAGTGCTCTTCTATTTCCCAGAAGTTCCCCGAAGGATCTGCCTGTAGGTTTGTGATTGCTTCAATCATCTTATTAAATAGCCTAAAATGAAGTTCATTGGGCCCAGCTCATTTGAATTGTTTATTTCAAAGAAGACYAGCTGGAAACAGCGCTGTTCAGACATTTCTCAGTCCATTAAAATTTCAAGTTCAGCAATCTTTTTTTTTWAAGTTCCCTGAGCAAAAATTCATATTAACAATTTAAGGCTATGAATTAATTTTAAATGCAGCTAGCATGTACTCTGGGAGCTCTTGTAAGATTAGTTGTACTTATTTTAAAACAGCAAGCAATTGAGTCTTCTGATGTAAGTCTTACTTAGAGCATGCAGATGCTTCTTCACTTAAATTGCTGCAGTCAAATTCTTCTTGAGTTGTTTTAGTGGTTTCAGTGTAATTCCTTGTGGAATTAGGTACTGTTCTTTTACACTGAAATGAGTGGAATTACTTCCACAGTGAACATGATCAAGCCATTAAATATGGCATTACTGAAATAGGAAAATTAAAAGTTTCTGTAAACTAGTATGAGACAAACGTTATTTCTTATGCTGTGCTTTACATGAATGACTTTGATGTGACTCAGCCTTCAGAGAACACACAGRTATTTTTATTTCTTTTTGCCTTTTATTGGCTCCAAGTTCCAAGTATTGATGTTGRTATTTTTGTGTTTTAAGTGCTTCAAGGAAAACCAAAGCAATTGCTGCTTAATACAGCTAGCTGTAGACCATAGCATTTCATCTGTGAGCCGAGCTGCCCTGTGTAGAGAAAGCAGAAAGAGTTAGCACAGGGCAAAGAATTTGGGGGGAAAACACCATCAACCTCTATCAAAGCAAGCAGTCCTCTCTTGGGATACCAAGCCATAAATGTTCCTTCTTTTCCCTGGTGTCATTGAAGCTACGTTAGTGCTGAGTTTGGCATGAGACTTTTTGGCACGCGAGATGGAGAGGCACCATGTAGACCCCAACATGTTACAGGGAATGCTGAGTTCATCAATCTTCATCTTTCTGGCAGGCATTTTAATACTTCACTCTATATCTCTGATCCTTTCACTTTTGGTCAAATTAAATTCCTTTTTGAAGTTTCAAGTTTTCTTTCTGACCTGAAATTTTGACCACATCTTCTGAAAAACACAAAGTGTGGGCTGAATTTTCTGGAAAACTGAGCTGACTCAGAAGGAAACATAAATCATTATTATCGTTATTATTATTATTATTATTATTATTATTATTATTATTATTATTATTATTATCTATTATTATCTATTATTAATATTATTATTAATTATTAATTATTATTAATAATAATATTAATATTAATATTAATAATGATAATAATAATAAAGGTTCCATCTGGGATAGGTGTGACACAGAACTTCGTGTTGATTTGAGTCAAAAATTAAAAAAAAAAAAGAGGAAGAAAAAAGGAAGAGAAACAACAGAGCGAACATTGCTGTGACATTGATTTAAGATACCCTGTAGAATAATGTCAATAACTGATGAAGAAGACATTTTAGCCGTGTGCTGAAGTTGCTGCAAAGGACTATTGATAGGGGCTGCAATCCTGGCTCTGCTCTGAGCTTCCCACGTGCCTGGGGGCTTGTCCTTGCACAGCTGTAACCTGGAGCTTGTCCTCCCACAGCTACTGGGTTCCCTTCCCTGCCTGCGACGTGGGGCTTGACGGCCTTTCTCGTCTCTAGGCAGACGTGTGAACTTGAGGACTGTGAAAGTGGTTTAGGTTTTTGTCAGAKCATCCTGAAGCTACAACTTTGTTACTGTGTTGAAATACAGAATAGGTAACAGTCACGGTGTCTTCTAAGCATATTCAAATCTTAAAATCAATAGATAAATATGGGAAACTGTAGTAGGAGGAGATTCTCAATAGAATTATCCCCAATTTCACATACAGGAATAGCCAACTTCTTGTGTTTTTTATTATTTCAAAACATAGAAAGTTTTTTTTGCTTCTAAATCACATGAGCAGCTTTTAGTTCCTTTTTTCCTACCCAAAAATAATGGTAGTTTATTTCAGATTAACTTATCCTGCATAGCATAGCTAGAAGAATTATTGTCACAATAAAATTTTATTGGTGACAGCATGAGATAAAAAGGAATTGTAAAATGATTAGCTCTAAAAAGAGAGGAAAGAAGGGAGGACCAGAGGATAAGTTTGTTTCCATAGTCAATAAAAGAATATGTAATTTGTGGTAAACTGGGTATCTGGTAGCAACTACATTCTTCTTTGCTTCTTTATGTCACTCAAAGCTAATTCAAAGTTAATCCATTGCAAAAATAATAATTCTCCTMATTTTTACTATTTTCTTTTTCACATCAAGTGTAATTTTTAGTTATAGCTAGTAGTATTTAGTTAAATAAGTGTAGTTACGTGAATTGGCAGAAGGCAGATGTGGAGACACGCAGCTGTCCAAAAGGGTCCTTAAGGAAGGGAAAGTTGAAGGCAGCTGAGGGCACTTGTGTAAGAATATTTAGGAAAGAGGAGATAGAGAAGGATCTGGCAATCAGGTTTCAGAAGATGTAGGATACCACCAATAGAAAACAAAGATCCTTGGATTTTTCCCTGAGACAAACATGTAATATATGAATCTGTGAAGAAGTTTATTTTTGATACKCTTGACCTAGGACAACATTGTCATTCTGAGAGCTGCATTAGTGCCTTAATTCATCTAGGGTATGTAATCGCAAAAATATGTTTAAACATGCCTGTTACATGGCTAATACTTAAAAATYATGTCTCTTCAAGAAATCTAGGGAGAAGGAATGGATGTAAAGAAGCAAAGTATTGAGAAGAAAAACCTTTAGTTATTGAACAAATAGTAGAGACATATGCTGGCCTTTACTTGATGAATTACACAGTAACATCCARCTGGCTGAAAACACACACACACAAATGGCAGATCACCCCTTTTCAGTTATGTTTCAGCCTATAAACAACCTTTCATAAGAGTATATGCTAATGTGTTATTTTTATTTCCTTTTTAGTAAAAGGTTTAAAGGGTTTCTGTAAGAGAATGGAAACATAAAAATAGGTGAAATGCAGCTATGCCAGTTTGAAAAGAGGAAGAATACTAAATCTAACTAGAACTGAAGAAACACTACCCTCATCACTGCATCAGTATTACTAGACAGAAGTTGCTGGAAATCAATATTTTTCCATTTCAAAATTCTTTCTTGATGCTATAAAAACTAGCAATGCTTTCTGGAAACGGCTGTCATTTTTCCCACAGAAATGTTGGAGTGCCTTGGTGAGAATAAAGGCTGTTGGCAGGTGGCTAACATGAGAACACTTCACTTTGGCCTCCAGAATGAATTTTTGTTTGTACTTCTGGACAGAACAGATTAGCAGGGACTGAGGTCTATGCAGTTAATCTGTGACTACTCATTATGCTCTATAGTCACTTTTCTATTATTGCAGCATAAACATACTTGTCTATGGAGTTCGCCTGAGGTCCAGGGAGCCAAAGCCATTACTATTTAGTGCTCTTCTCTGTTCTTACGAGAAGAGTAGAAAACCTGTAGCCCCTTCTCTTGCTCGAAGCAGAAGCTCTGCAGTTTTTTGCTTTGAAGACTGTGTTCTGTCTGAGCTCAGTTCGTGCATCCATCCTGAGCGTGCTGTGGAGTGAAACCAAGGCACCTTAGCCAACTTCCACATCCTGTGTGAGCCTCAGATATGAAATGATCCAGACCTAGGAGAATCATTTTTTACTTTCTGGGAACCTAGAACCCACTAGGAGTTTATACATACTTCTGAGTCATGCATATTTGCTTTCCTGTTTTCAACATGTATTATTCATGTTTGTTAAATACATTCTGCCTAATGTATCTGCCTAATGCATGTGCGCTTGCTTTTTACCTTGCAGCATTCTTCTTGATGAAGAGGGCCACATAAAGATAACAGGTAGGTGAGGAACAAAAAACTTAATCTCTACAAGGCATCTGACTTTTCTGCAATATGTTCCATGCATCTTAAATTTTTCCTTGGAAAGATTTGCTTGTAAGAAGTTGGAAGCCAGAAGAGTTAGAGTATTGACTTTCTTCCCTCTGGTCACTAGTCAAGCACTCTTGTGCTGCACAGCACATGGAGAAGATGGGGTTTTGTTGAACTCYGGACTGGCTTGAAGCTTTCAGGCTTAACTGCCTACAGGCATGGGTGGAAGGATGCTCTCAGTATGACTCTATTTCAGATTAATTTATCTAAATTCTTACTGTGTAGAGGACACCTGGGAAGACATCTCTTTGCCACACTGGAGATGCTGTCTAGCCATCCGTTTCACTGCTGTCAATCTAGGATTGTTATTTTAATGTTACATCAACTTGAGCAAGTACCTTTATTACTTTATTACTAAGTCTTTGCCAAATCTGGAGTATTTTGCTTATTCACTTCTGCTTTGGGCCAGAACCTCAGCTGTGCATGGAGGGAATAATACACGGTGCTTTCAGGGCATAGCCAGGCCAGGGTTGGGTGCACGTGCTCATGTGGCCTTTCTGTGCACGAAAGCTGCACACAAACAGCAGGGTGATTTTTAGGTGGGTTGGATGTTGTGCCCTTCTTGAGTTCTCTTTAAACTGTTTAAATGTATGAGAATGTTAAGCATCTCTTTTTCAAAACCTGACAAGTCTATTTTCTGTTTGTTTCAATTTCTTTAGATTTTGGTCTGAGCAAAGAGGCCATCGACCATGACAAAAGAGCGTATTCGTTCTGTGGGACGATAGAGTACATGGCCCCCGAGGTGGTCAACCGACGAGGACACACACAGAGCGCAGACTGGTGGTCTTTTGGTGTACTCATGGTAATGAAGTAGTTGTATTTGTCTGGGAGGGGAGGCTGTCGGAGTGATTAGGCATCTCCTATACAAAGCATCACTTGGAAYGATTAAGGGTTGGTAGGAGAGTAGACAGCTGAAGATTGCTCCATCATTTTCACTGCATCAGCAGTAAGATACTTCAGCCTGATGCAGACAATACTTGAGATAACATTTGGCCACTGTTTTCCTTACYCCAGTTCTTTCATTAGCTGCTTGTTTCGGTAGGCTATCAAAAGCCATGGATATTTCTCTTCCATGGGAATGAGCAGGGCAGCCTCAGCAGAGAACAAACACTTGAAAGCAAACAGCTGTGTCGTTAATAACATGGTTCCTGTTGGTGAACAGTACCTCAAATATCTATTTTCAGAGGTTAGGGGCATTGTTTTAGAGAAACTCAAATGCTCACTATATGTCCTTCAAAGTGTAATTGTACATGACATATTTTAGAGGAGATCCTGAATGTTTCAATGTACACACTGTGTAGAAAAGAGTAGAAAAGTGGTTCTTTTGACAGTCATCTTCCATCTTCATGTCAGCATCAGTGACTAATGTTTAACAAATGAGATTCAGTAGTTTTTGAACTATCCAACAGTGGATTTCATGTTGGTCTTAGTTGGTGGGAAGCTGTTACTCAGGAACCCTTCTTTTTTTCCTCCTGTGGAAGGGGGGGGAAAAAAAGGAGCTGTATGTGGGCACCAGGTCATCCTCCTTTCTTTGCACTTTTGCTTTGCTGATTGTGTTTGGATTTTTCCATTGTCCCGAGTACATCTTGAAGCTGCTTTAAAAAGAGGATTACGAAACAGTGTTTAAATGTTTGTTCTTCACAAGGATAAAGTCAGCAGAAGCAGACACGAATGCATTAATTGGCACAGAGAAGTAGTAAGGATTCAGATTCATCTTTACTTGCTTTCTTTGCRCTGAATTGACTGTACAAAAGTCGAAGTTTTCCCTTCTGTTGCTTAACTTTTAAGAACTTTGCAAGCTATTTCTGAGACACTTCACATTTTAGAAGCTATGGGAGTTGCCTTTTTATAGATGGAAATTGCTGCAAAGTTAGTTAATAAGCAACATGAATTTACCAAGCATCATTCTTGCTAGATTAAAGTGATATTTTGCCTGTTTTCTAAACAAAATAAATGAAAGGGATCTCATCCACTTGCATTTCAGGGAAGTATTTGACATAGTGTTGCAGGGGAAAATATTCATTAACTTTGTTAGTCCAGGAACTACCTATACCAGTCTATGAATATATTACAGGGAAAAATGCAACAGCGAGAAAGAAGCTGTTGAAGCTCTAGAGTAATATTGGCCCAGRAGCAGAGAGGATTAAACTCATCATGAAGCAAAGCAAGCCTGGAAATCAGAAGAAAGCTCCTGACTGCTGAATGAGAGCCTGCAAAACACTTTCCAGTGTTGCTGAGTTCTGAGGGGAAAATCCAGCTACAGTGGAACTTGATTGCTTTATGACAAGGAGTTGATAACATGCTGCTGAGTTGAAGGACCTTGCTGGACCTGAGATGTAGCTCTAGAGAAGGCTCTCAGGGAGGTATTCAGCTGCCCTCATGCCAGCCATCCAAAATTAGATCTTTGGGCACTGAGTTGGGCCTTTCCACCACCCCGAGCCCCACCAATCTGCAGTGCCACTGCTGCTTAGGAGGCTCAGTGGGAAGCTGGTTTGTGACAGGAATAATTTATCTTTAAAATCGATAGGAGAGCAGCAGGTTTTTGAAGCAATTRCCCCCAGAGTCATTTTGTCAAGCGGCGCGGCGCCCGTTGCGCACAGATGCTGTGCGGTTCTCATTCCTGTAGCGACGAGCTCAGGTAGCAGAGAGGCTGCTGCCTCCTCAAGGGTGCAGGCCGCACCTCTGTCCCAGCACGGAGTGCCCAGCCGCCTGCAAACGGGCACCCTCGATGCAGACACCGCAGCACAGCAGTGCAGCTGTGCCTGGCATCGCCCCTCACCCTGCAGAACCACAGCCGCGTCCAAAATTCTTGCAGCAAAGTTACTAGTATCCCTACTAATTTAGTTAACTGTGTATTTCACTGTGTGTCACGAGACATAAAGTATGCTTAAGTGCTGTTTATTCTCAGCAGGCAGTGTCACCAAAGGCAGCAAGGGGAGGAAGCAGCGGGAAAGCCACAGAAATCTTTATTTGGGCGGCTGYATCACTGGTCTGATGACCTTGCTGCTGGCGGCAGGTGGTGCGGCGTTWACTGCTGTTATTTATAACCTGAACTTAAAAGCAGCAAAGCATCCTGATCTCCTGTGGGCATGAATGCATTTGTGGATGCTCAGCACATCTAAACCACTGGTCTTTATTCAGTGAAATCAATGAGTTATGTCTCAAATAATAAATATACAGAGTCCTTTGAATACTTTATTGTAGCTCAGTTTTGGAGAATAGCTGTGCCTTTTCACTGTCTATCTCTAGTTAAAAGGAAATGCTCATGTGTTGRTACATGAGCTGTTTTTCTGTCACCTGTTCTTTTGCATGTGGTAGGTTTTGCTAAACTTTATTTTTTTCTCYGTCTTTCTCTTTTCCATCTCCTTCCCCAGTGATTCAGTATATTAGAATTAGAAAGAGTCAGTGCAAAAGGAGATGAGGTAAAAAGAGTAAAATCCTTGCAACTGTAAACTGATGCTTAAGCCTTTGCACACTGCTGGTCATCTTAGAGGAAAAATGACTTTAATCACTTCAGCCTTTTTTCCTTTTAAAGAATTAACTGATGGGAACAGGAGAAGGCGATATCCATGCTATAGAAGTGCGTGAGGATTTGCCTTTGCTCATCTCTCCTTGTTTTCTAACACTTACATGTTCTGCTAGGGAAGCTGGGTTTTATGTCAGTCTGAAAAAGTGAAGAGAAATAAATGATACCCAAATGACTTATTAGCATTTCTCTCCAAGTAATTTGCAGTGTGATGTGAAATATGCATAGAAAATACATCAGTTGGTGGCATATRCGTAGCTTGAAAGGAAGTATTTGTGGTAGTGGAATTTTCATATCTAAAATCTTGATCAATAGAGGGAAAATACATTTTCTGTAGTAGAGAATATTTTAAAGAAGTAACGATGAACTTGTGCATAACCTAATCATCAAAAGAGCCACTGAAGAAAACAAARTGCTTTCTTGTGTGTTCTGTTGTTTGGGCTGGGATTAGTGCTATACTATGAAGAGGACTCAGGAAGCTGCTAGCAGCACGTTGTCAGCCTGCATGGACTGTGGCACAGTCTAGAATCAGACTGAATATTTGAAATACGTTGTGATTATTATTAATATCAAAAAAAAATCTAGTCTTCCTAAAATCAGTGAATTCTACTGCCAGCCGTAGTGAAAGTTCATGTACTGCCAGCTAAGCCTTTGATACAGGCTACAAAACCAGGAAAGTTACCTGCTCTGTTTGTTTGCAGCTCATTTTGTTTGAATCATTTCCCAGTGGTTTGCTATGATACAGTTATATTATGTGAATCTTGAAATTCACCCTTTTCAAGTATTCCACAGAGGACCTAGGTACCTGCCTCTTATTTGGTAAATGATAATAACTGTTTGGACCCAACTAAAAGTTTGTGCAGGGGAGTTTGTGTAGTTCTCCTCACTGGACATTTTGTTTTCTGCTTGTATCTTACTCTTTGCATCTGCAGTTTTAGATAGGACATGGTGCTGTTTTAGTAGTGTAGTTCTAGAGAAGCTTTGCATCAGGAAGTCTGTGAATAATCAGTGACTTAAATTGTGCAGAAAGGGARTCAAAAGGAGGGAGAGGAAGTTCTTCTGAACTCTACGCTAACAGAAGGTGGTCCTCCAGAATACACAATATGTGAATAATTGGTAGGCAAGAAGAAATGTAGCAGGTGGTTTATGCAGATGGAGGGAGTGCAAAATGAGCCTCACAGCTAAAGTGTAGGGTGTGCTTCAATTCAAGCCATAGCCAAGACCAGGGCAAAGTTTCTACACACCTCGACCCAGCTCTCTGTCAACCTGTGGTGACCCACACAGCCCAGTGTCTATGGGAAAGGGTGTTAGCAGCGGGCGGTCTCCTCTGTTTGCCTGGTTAAATTTAACATCTTCTTGATATTTTGGTAAATAAACAGGAAAATGGGATATTGTGTTGTGGCTTTGACTGATCATTTTCTTTCTGAAAGAGCAGCTCTACAAGGCAACCATTGTCTTCACTTTCTTAGCCCAAACAGGAGTTGACACTTTCCAAATCTTGTTTGCAAGTCAGCCATAAACATATTTTTAAGCATTTTTTTTCTAGCTATTTTAGTAGCTTGAGAGAATTTAATAATTCAGATGAATCTTTCAGTTAATTATAGTAAATGAGCTACCAGCCTTCTAAGCTATCCTGTGCCTTCATCACAAAACCAAAACCACAGCTTCAGGATTTGGAGATTTTTTTGCCTTGGTGTTGGGGTTTTTTTTTTTTTTTTTTTTTTTTTTTTATTTGGTTGTTGTTGTTTTTGTGTCTAGATTTCTCTGGCCTAGTCAGGGCCTTACCAAAGATTATTCATCCTATCAAGTACTGTTGAGTTTGACGCAGATTCTTCTGAAATTAATTCAATTTGCTGATTTTTGAAGTGAGAAAAACTCCCTCACAACTTGGCAAATCGGTTCCTTGCTGTGACTTTCTGAGTTACGGTGCTAAGGAGACTGCCAAATAAATCTTTTTTTCTTTTTCTTTTGTCTAGGTGATAGCTGGCCGGTTATTACTTTATCGTTATTACTTCAGTTTGCCTTATAAAATTTCATGTTGAGGTCACTACTTTAGAAAATCGGATTTGAAACGAGATGTGCTATCGTATGTCTGCTAAACTGTTGCTTTTGGATTTAACTTAATTTTGTTTCCGTAAACATAAAGGAGGTTCACTTCAAGCAGCAATGTTTAAATAGCCTAAGCAATTGCAGATTGAGTAGTAAAACCTAAAGGGAAAAGACAAAGCTAGTTAACATTTAATGAAATGTTTGCAGAAGATCAGAATGCATCAGTGAGAAAAACATCCAATTTAGCTTTTATTTTGATTTATTTTTGTGGAGAAGTAGACCAACACAGAGASCATATTTTAGAAAGTTTTATTTTTAAGAAATGTGATTTCATTGAAAATCAGCCTTTTTGGATAAAAATCGACCTTGTTTGAATGTTCCTTTTCATCTTTCATGATGATTTGCTCTTATATGCCTGCTGTGTGTGAATTCCTGAAAGAAAGAATCTTTACAAAAAGCTGTTCCTCAGTACACCAAAAATTGTTGCAGAAGTTCAAGCTGACCTCCCCTCCACTCCAGCAATAGCACACAGTGAATTGCTTCTGGGAAGCACTGGCATTTTAAGTTTTCATTTTCTTAAACATCAAGGCAGAAAAAGTAGTGATTTTTTTCAATGCAAGATTTAAAAAAAAAAAAAAAAGTTTTCTTTTTCCTTAAGAAAACTTGGATACTCCAGAACAGATACAGTCCAGCCATTACTTAGCAACTGTATTTGTTTTCTCTTTTGTGTCATTTATATTCCAACCTTGAATATTACAGGAATATATTAAATGTTGMAATTACATTTAATGTCTAATATTGATAATGTTTTAAATGAAATCATGTCAGATGTCAGCTATACCATAATTATTCTTAAGTAAATGATGGCAAGAAGGATCAGGGTATTTAAAATCTTGTCACTTCTGTCAGTACTGATAAAAGGATATGCTAGCAAGGCAGCTTCTAGAAAATAATCAGAAAACAAATTCAGCTCTTATTCCTGTTAGTCATTTGTTCAGTGGTCTCGCATTTCCTTGTCTCTGTTGCCACATTTTGTGGTAGTAACTGAATCCTTAACTATCCAAAACACTTTTAATGATGGAGAGATTGAACRAAACTGTGAGTGGAAAGTGATGTTGTGTTTGTGATGGCTATTCTTAAACTGGAAAAAAAAGAAGGAAGGGTTGATCTGTGGGTCAATTTGTCACACTTTATTAATGAAAGGTTTGTTTTTGCACAAACCAGCTTCCTGACAGCAGTGAAACTACTTGTGTGATGAGGTACCAAAACTCCAAAGGAGTGAGAGGTTCTGCCCTACCTTAATAGCTATTATAGCTGTGAATATTAATCCCATAGGTAACTACTATAGTGAAAAGGATCCAATGTCTGGCCCTGACATAAGCAAATAATAATTACCTTTACCCTCAATGTCAGTAGGCATTGTCCTCCCTTTTGCCAGGACTGAATGTGTTCTTGGTCTGTTTTTGTTAGCTGATACACAACCTCCATCATCCCATAGTCAGAGGAATCAGCATCTGCTGGTACCCAAATGAAATGTTGTGACTAGAGCTGTGGTGAAAGCCCTGGTATTGAATCCATACAAGACGAGCTTCCTTCACCGAGGGTTTTCTTTTTGTTATTACTAATGTGGAATTCCTGTCAGAGCCACTGAAAGCATTACTCGGTTTCAAAGAAGCCATAAATGATTGATGTTTCAGGTGTAAATTAGGCAAATATTTGATAATGATTGCGAATTTTGCTGTGACATTTGGGTGCAGTTAAGCCTGACATTTGCAAAATTTAGTGTGATTACAGCCAGGGGAACAGAAAAAAAAAGAAGCACACTCATCTGCCTTGGGWATGAGGGAGTTATGCACATTCCTCCTGCACAGTGCAGCCGAGGCAGCTCTATGAGGTGAAAAGATGCAGCGAGCAAAGGCACTTGGACCCAGATGGAAAAGATGGGGAAGGATGTGGTGACCCCATTTTCCTTCACCACAGCTCACACACCGGAGGACAACCGTGCCGGTTCAGATGAAGGGTCTGTTTGGCCAAATACCCTGTCTCCAGCATTGGCTCTGGAGGGAGAGTAGGAACAAGGCCAACTGTATGTAATATTTCTCCCCAAATATACCAAAACTTGCCAAGTGTCAGTGTAAGCAGTTTGTGGCAAGACTCTCAAACTAAACTGCCTTGTTGTTCCTTGATGTTCTGCAAAATACAGGTCTGTACCATCCTTTTTTTCCAAACTACAAATTTGTAGACAATTTCTGCTCCTAAAGTGTTCCACTGTGTTTGAAATAAACAGAAGATGTGTGGCGTGTCTGGTCAGCAGTGCAGACTGTCTCAGCACTCAGCTGATTTGCCCTTTTGTTGTTCTTTGACAGTTTGAGATGCTGACGGGGTCGTTGCCATTCCAGGGAAAAGACAGAAAGGAGACAATGGCTCTTATTCTCAAGTGAGTAGTGAAATCTGTTTCATTTTTCTAATGTTATCTGCACCCTTGGGGAAGGTGATGGGTCCTGGCTATATGAAGGATTGAAAATAATGATCAAAGCTGTCCACGGCGGGAATCTGGTAGGACAGGCACAGCTAATCCTCTGCCTGTGGAGCTACACTGGCCTTCAGAATAAATAGCAGAAAGTGAAATACTGAGAGAATCTTGCAGGAGAAATGAATCTTCCTGTCCTTCTAAAAGGCAGTTGTTACATGCACGCAAGTGAGAACAGTCAGATTTGTACCGGACAGCTTTTGTTGTTTTTGTTGCTTCCAGTGTTTTAAAACTCTTTCCTTTCAGATTTCCTATTTGCTTAGCATTCAGTGCATACCTAAGTGTTGCTAGATTTGAGATTAGTCTTTGCATAATACCACTTTTTTGGTCTGTAATAAAGAATTTTCAAGAGAAGAGTTTCCCTTCACTTCCCAATTCTTTCACATAGTTTTGTGTGTTTGATTTCCTCTTGATTCCCAAAGCTGAAAAGCTGAAAAAGTTTGCATAAGAAAATGACCTCTTTGGTTGAATCTTTTACAGCCTGTTTACAAGGTCTTGAGACTGATTAGATCCACATCCCGTGAATCCAGTGGTAAAACTTTCTGTGACATTTTCAAGATCAGGCCCTCAGTTTGTAATATGTTTGTGTAGTCATGCCTTTGGTGACCAAATGCGTTCATCTGCCTGTCTAAGTTACTGCAGCCCCACTTTCTAAGCCACAACGTGATGGAGAAAAATTTTGAAAAAATTATTTTCTTTTCAAGTGTTGTGTTCTTTCAGAGCCAAGCTGGGAATGCCACAGTTCTTGAGCATAGAAGCACAGAGTCTGCTGCGAGCCCTCTTCAAAAGGAACCCATCCAACAGATTAGGTATGAGCGTGCATTTGATCTGTGCATTTGTTCTGTGTGCTCTGGCTTGTAAGGTACTGATTGCTTCTCCCAGTTTATCTTCACTGATGGTTATCATTATAATGCAATAAATCTGAAGCATTACTAGAGAAAATAGCAAGGAGCACAGGCCAGCCGTTGGAATCCAGAGCTTGATATTAGCATGTATTAAATTTTTTCAGTGAAAAGGGAGGGTGAACCACTATTTACAGAGACTATAAAACAACTCCTTCATATAGTAATACAGAGAAGAGTTCTGKTTTTTTTTTTTTCAGTTCTATGTAACTTAGCTCTAATCTAAGCTGGGCAGAAAAAGGGAAGAATAGAGAGACCATTGTGTATTCTCCATTTCTTACCACATTACTATGCTGTCTCATTTGGTTTCCTGGGAACATTTTAATGGGTGTTCTTCTTTGTTACCCTAAGTGCATCATCTGCTCTCTTAGGAAGGGCGTGTTCACGTTCTTTAGTGATTTTATTTAAATGTGATCATCTGTTTTTGAAGGAGCAAGTGATTTGTTCTGCATCTGTCACACAACCAGTCATTAGGATAATTCCTCTGCCAAAACAGATTGCTGTTATATATATGATTGCTGGACATGCTTTGCTGTGTCAGTGCACGTACATGGACACCCGTTGCTTTAGAAGCTAAAATGAACTGAAAAAAATACCTTAGGAGAAGGAATAGAATAATTCTGTATATTCTGTCATAAGAAGTTAACTAACTGGTCCTGTTTAGGTACATMTTTGACTGACATTGTCATACATGGGAATTTTGGCATCCCATAAGTGGCTCTTCTTTTAGGGAACACCATAGATGGTCTCAGTATCGAGACTTGGGAAAAGCAATTTGCTGTTACCTCTTGCAACTGTTCATGCTTGTAAGGTGATTTCAGGTTGGAAGAGGTAAGGCTAGAAGCACAAAAATCAACTAGGAAATAATTAGTCCTAAGATGTGGAAGGAGCAGGAAGTGCGGGATCCCTGCCGCCCCTCCGGCGGCACCGCACGGAGGCAGTGCTGCTGAAGGCCTGCTCCGGGCTGCCTTTGATCCTCCTCTGTGCAGCAGGCACAGCCTCAGCAGTCTGGCAGGGTGCTTGACAGCCCCTTTCTGTCACCATGTGGCTGGGCAGCGGACCCTGTGATTTCCAAGATATCCCCATGCGCCTGCACAGGCCGCACACAAGATGGACGCCCCCCGCCATGGCCGAGGCCTCCTCGCTGCCCCTCTGCTGCTCTCGTAGCCCTGGCCGCTGCTGCGGGGCAGGCAGCGCATGGGCCGGAGGCTCTTCCAGCGCCTATATTTTGTATGGAGCAGCAGCAGGTGCCCAGGTGCCTTCTGAGGGATGGAGCGTTCCCAGAGGAGCGCAGGGCGCAGGCCAGGGGAAGGCCTTGCCCGGGGTTTCTGCTCCATCCAGCCACAGTGCTTGAAGCCTGATACTCCACAGGGCTGGTAGCACAAAAACACATTTTCTCAGTAGGTTCCAATTGCTGCCAAGCAATTTGCTTGGCATTACAGAAAATTAAAGTCTTGGGATTTCTGGGCTTAATCAACATTCAGGAGAATAAGATGCAGCGACAAATAAAAATGTTTCCACGCTTCCCCTCTCTACTCCCTGTGCTGTTTCCTGCCTTACTCTGTCTCTTGTGGCCTCCCACAGTCTGTTACTTGTGCAGAAGAGTGTTCCAGGAGAGCCCGTGGGATGTTCTCCATACAGATCATTAAAAGAAAGTTAGGTACTAGAACAGGGATTCAGTTGCTTAATTTTAAGAAGCGGTTGTAACAATCATGGTTATCATATTGTCTCCATTTTAAATGGAGAGCTGGTGAGGTTGAAGGTTTTAAACCTAAAGTTTGTTGAAAAACTGCAAAGACTGTCAGGAAGGAAGAGATTAATTACAACAGGAACTTCCAAGGCGGGGAATCTAAGAGCATAACAGAAGAGTAGAGCGTAACTTTTCAGGGACATCAATAAAGAGCTTATCTGTGATTTAACAGTCTAAGGATCGGTGTGAATTGTAATGAAAACAGGCTCGTTGGTAATGAAAATAAGAATACGTGAGTGGTTGGTCTGCCACAGTGCACATACTGCACTGAAGTCAGTAAATAAAAGGATCACTTTAGCTTTGTAGATTTTAGCGTTTTCTGGGAAAGGAATAATAGTTTGAAGTTAAAAGAAAAGAAGGCTTAGGCATCCTCCTTAGCCATCCAGATCTCTGGAAAGGATTGAAGCGTACTAAAATAAAAAGGCAGCGATGTTATGGATCAAACACTTTTTTTCCAATCATTTCTTGGAAGACTACAGATCTGGAAAGTATGTTTATTCCCAGAGGGTTTCTAACTCAGGCAAGATGAAAGACGTGAGTCTCAAAAAATTACGTTATTCTCACTGCCATTTTGTTTTTTCCCATTTTGGTATGATATTTTTATAAACAAAGGTAAAGTTTGAATATCTATTTTTAAATTTGTTTGGGAGCATTTCTTTGAAGCTTTGGCCTATCAGTAGAAAATAATGTTAGATACTGGATAGATAACTGGAGCAAGATACCCAGAAGATGCAGAGAAGGAATTTAGTAATCCAGTGTGTCTGTTTCTCCTTTTAAGTCTGTAGTATGGTTGTATTGCTCCAATCAAGTGCAACAAATTACAGATTTTGGAAATGCATTATTTTAAATTCTTAAAAGAATAATTTGAATACTTGGAGAAAAAAGGAGTAAACATTTTGGGAAGTGGCACAGTGAAGAATGTTGGGTTATCACAGTGTCAGTAACTTAGGCAACAAAAGGATCTAATTCTCATGTACACAAAGGCCTGCATCTATTCAAGTAGCTAAATGAACTTAATGATTTCAGAACTCCTTAACACTGCTGAGCAGTATTAAGGTACAGAAACTGCATAACTGACAATTCTGGACGAGAAAGTATGGGGCTCTTCAGCCTCTTCTGAGGCTGAAGCGATGATGTAATTGTATTCTCTTAAACTAAAAATCTGGAAACTCTTTCCACTCATTTTAAGTTCCCAAATAATTTTTAAAATTGTCCTGGATCCCTTTTCCCCTTTGTCCATTTGAAGGCTCACATTTTCCATAATGATCMAATAATCAAAAATTACAAATAAAACATTCTACTGCAATGCTTGCAGGCATTTTTATTTCAGGCATGAAACAATCTTAAGTAATCAAGTTCCACTTATTAACATGAGACTGCCTTGATATAAATCCTTGCACTCTATAATGCACTCCTTAATCTAGTGATTTGATCTCAAAGCATTATTTATCATTGTTTTTTCTTGAACCTTTGTGACACTATATATGATGTAGAAATACTTGCAGCCAGTAGGTTCTGATTGTACAGATTATTCTTTAAAGATAGGTTTGGTTACAAAATTGAAGTAAAAGTACAGTTCAAAAAAAATCTAGAGGAAACCTAGAGAAAAATGGAAAGTTTTGCTTTGTGGTCTGCCAACATAAAAGCTCTGAACTTGCTCCATGGTTCCAGATCAGCTCCTGTGTATTGGAAGTCCTTCACTCTTTGCAAAATTAGACTATTACCAACCTAAATGTCTGTAGTAGGTTAAGCTGACCAGAGTTGGAGTGGGGCCATGGCACTCCTAACAACATAGTGTTTCCATACTGCAGCTCTGAGGTGGCCTCAAGTCGGAAATGTACTTTTTTTCAARCAAATGCTCATGTGAACCACATGCAGCACTGCACACTGCAATCCTCGACTATCAGAAGCAGCTTAGGGTGGGCTTTTTCATTAGATCTGAGTTCTGTTTTTTGCTTGTTTGTTTGTTTTTGTCTTTTTATTGTAAAAAAAGGCATCAGCARTTATACTCAGCCTAGGGAATGCCACCAGTAATTTACAATCCCTGAAGCCTTTGTTCTTGTCCTTCTGGAATCAGTATAGTGATATGGCTTCATCCCTGTGTAGTAAGGAACAGTTACTGCACGTTACGAAGTTGCCAGTCACCACCACTGAACACAAGGCCTGTCCATCCCAGATATTTCTTCTCTAAAGAGTTATTCAGTATAATTCTCTGTATGCAGAGCAGTTGTGCATTGCTATATGTAGTAAGGATTTTAAACTTGGAAAAGTTATGCTAAGGAAGACAAAACAAGGCTTATTACTCTRTGACCATAAGCTTTGGCCACAGGTCTGCCTAGCTTAGTGCCCTATGACCTGCTGCTGTTGARTAGGAAGAGCAAGAAGAGCAGACATATGTGATACTTCACCTAAATTCTCTCAGTCATTAGCTGTTCACCCTGCATTCAGGAGGTTTCCTGAACCTTTTGTGGTTTGTGTTTCAGGCAGTCTTCAGCAGATTTCTTTTCCACAAACTTGTCCAGGCTCCCCCTGAACTCRTAAATGTTTTGCATCCATGTCATCTTTTTGCAAGGAATTCCATATGTTCAAAAGCTTTCTGTTGCACGGAGAAACATCGTTGGATGGTTCTGAATCTGATTCCTATCAATATTTTAATGAGCAATATTCTTTCAGTGGAAAAGGTGTGAAATCCCTATGCACCCATTCTGAACAATCACAATTATGTAAAACTACATCAATCATCTGTTTCCTGGTTGAAAAGCCCCAGCCTGCTCAGTCATTCCTCATATGGAAGTCATTTCATAACATTCCTTGTTGCTTTTCTATGGTTTTTGTCTCCAACTTTAATGTAGCCCTTTCTAGTTAACAAAATCAACTGTGTTTGCTGTCAAGCTGGAGATGTACCACAGACTTTGAGAGTGACATAGTGATGTTCTCCAGTTTGCCCTCTGTACTCTGAGATTGGATTTCCTGTTACGTTTCCACCAACCTGTCTGTCATAACCCACAGACCTCTGTCCTGAGGAGGGGTGGTCAACTCAAAGCCCATGAGTTGGTAGGCCAGGCTAGGCAGGTTTACCTTCATGTGCATCACTTGCATTTGTCTATACTAAAAGATTAACAGATGGAGAAGTAATCCAAAGAAAATTCCTTCTGAGTTATTCTCTGGTAGGCTTGACAGACAACCTGAATGTTGTGTTCACAAAGTGTTTGCTTTTCCTATCAGTTCCTCMGTAAATATTAAGCAGGCTGCAGGAAGCCGTTCCTGATGGGTGCGTTTTGACAAACATCGGAAATGTCTTGCACACAGGGAAAGCAGATGTCATCTTTTGTAAGAGATGGATTTGACAATTTTTAAACTGCTTGCAGTGTTGATCTTTGGGAAGTACAAATATTTTATACGAAAAGTTCAGTCCTGAGGTGCCAAGTGCTTATTGCAATGTGTTTGTTAGTCCTGGGTCCTTTGGGGATCAGGGATGCTCAGCATCCTTGTAATGAAGGCACTGGGCACCTTTCAGGAGCTGGCTGCAAAACTGCAGTGCAAAGCGTTTGCCTCCAGGTGTTATTTGTTCTACTGTAAAATGAAATATGCTATTAATAAAGGCAAATCAACCAAAAAATGGCACACTAAGTCATMTGTGACAGTTGTTGGGATTATTACCGAGCACCTGTTGGTGTCTGTTGTTTGCACTGAAGCAAAAAAGTCAACTAGCTGAAAGGAATAAAATAAAAAAAGAAAGGCAATCTGAAATGAAAACACAAGGCAAAAGTAATGARAGAATTAGATTCATTACTAGATTGCAAAAGAGTGTCACTAAAATTCCTATAGAATAATGCAAGAAGTATTAAACGGTATTGTCAGTGAAGCAGAAGCATCAATGATAGTGACAGTTTTGATACTAATAAAATATTGAAATGAGGAAACCTAAAACTCCGAGTTACTTCAAATCATTTGGAGCCTTTTGGTATTTTGAGCCTAAACTTACATGCAGTGCAGTTTTTCCTGCTCATGAGGAATGGGAGATTAGAAAGATTTCAAGTTAGGTCTGGRTAGAAGGTGTGTAGTTAGTGGCAGGAAGCAGCAATAACCTGCTGGAGGATTGGGAATTCTTCTGTTTGCTCCTAGCCTCACTAGCACTTGAGCTCCGCCACACTTGGATCTTATGTCTGACCTGAAACCTGCAGAGAGCAGCTAGTCAGACTTGTCACAAACCTCATTTAAAAAATAGTAGTTGGTACAGTTATGGTAATTGCAATGTTAAACAATGGTACTAGGTTTTTTGACTGAAAGAAATATTTAGATAGAGCTTTTGCTYTGTCAGAAAAAAAAATAGAGGATGAGGGAAGAAGTTTGGAGAAGCAAAGTCATGAAGCACTCTTTTCTAAGCATTCCTTTATTTGATTCTTCCATTCTCTTGTCAGGTGCTGGATTCGATGGAGTTGAAGAAATTAAACGTCACCCTTTCTTTGCTACCATAGACTGGAATGTAAGTGGAGCGACATTATTATTTTTTATTTTAAATTATGTTGCTTTTTTTTTGTTGTTAAAGGAAAGAAATAGAAAGCTGCTTTCAGCATTGCTAGTTTTTTTCTAGCTTCCTGTCTCAGTTTTGTCAATGGTCTGGTTTACCCAGTGCTACCTGAGCTCACAGTGTTGCAGAGCAGTGAGAGAACACTGCCGTGTTGCGGTGTCACGGGGAATGCAGAACAGTTGCTGCATTCACCTCTAATAAACGTGAACTATTGATTGGAAATAGGCAGCAAATTGGAAATAGGCAGCAAATTCTTCAAGCAAAAGAATTCCTGTAATATTTCAATTGCAGAGGAAAGCCAAGCTGAAGTACTGGGCTTGAAAGAGAGTCCAGAGGGAAGTAGCCTGATACTATGAGTCTCTCCATCTTCCAGCTTCTATGTTCTGTATTAAARTACTTCTCACTGGATCTAGCAAGCTAGGCTGAATGAGAGATCTGTGCTTTTAATGCTAGGTGCCTTCAGCAACCCTTTTCTGTAGCCCCACATCCTCTCATGTATGGCAGTAGCTCCGAGATGCTCCAGGACCACTAGTTGCACCCTTTTTCTAAACACACTGGACCTGGCTCCTGGAGCTGGGTGGCTATTTGCAGAACTGGAGTAGCAGGATGTACAGCAGGTTGTGCTACTTTGTGTCATAGGAATCAAAAATCCTCCCGTAAGGTAGCTTTATTGACCATCTCTTGTCACTTTTGGGCCTAATGACCATAGGCCAGTATCTGGGCCTTCCATTATTTTGTGATGGGTGTTACAGAAAAGCATAACATAGATGAATTTTCAGAACAGTGATTTTATATCACTGAGTATACAAGGCAGGCAGACATAACAGGAAATAGCAATTTCTCTTACAAGTGGCTGGAGTTTTATTGAGGTGACTCACTAATCTAACRAGAGCACTCAAAATTGGAAGAGCAAACATTTCATCAAATGTAAAAGGGTTCAAATAAGACTTGTCTGAYGTGGCTTGTAAAATGGTAAACAAGGATTTATTTTATTGCTATCAGTTACATCTCCTAAAGCTGCCCACAGAGATTAGCTAACTTTCATCCAGACTTGCAGTAAGTTAAATGTCCTCACTTTCAGTATCAGATTTGTTCATATCATTGTATTTTTAGACCAACCTGGAAGCAGATAGTTTTTGTTGTTGATCTGGGCATCTGCCAGCACATCAGAGCTCCTGTTTGCCAGATCCGTTAGAATTTTCTAGTCTACTTGTATCTGACCTAAGTTATGGTGTCTGTTTAATATTTGGACTGAATTCACTGAATTCATACTCACTGAATTCACATGAATGTTAATATAACAGATCTCATAAATGCAATTTTTACTGTGAATTCTAGTAAAACTTTAGGAATGTATATGACTGCCATTCTCAAACTGTGGCCTAGGATTTTGCAGTAAAACTAATTTCTCTGTGAAACCACGTTTTTTGGCAACCAGGGGGCTTGTAAAAAGGCCCACAGAATCATTTATTTTGGAAAGAAAATACGAATCTACTTTGAATTTAATGGTGTAATGACTCATAAGTAGGTTACAGAATGATAAAGTTGAGTCTGAGATTTTCCTTTACAACCCYGCTGATTTCCAGTCCCATTACATACATTCTGGAGTGCAGATTCTGTGTCATCGTCTGCTTCCTAATAATCGTAAGATTCTGTGTAAGGATTTCCCATTTATGAAAACATTAAATGGGAGGCAGCATCAGTTCTATAGACATTAGAAAAACAGTTTTTTTTGTTTTGTTTTGTTTTGTTTTTTTTTTTTTTTGTTTGTTTTGTTTTTGTTTTTGTTTTTGTTTTTGTTTTTCTCTTATTGTGTGTTTCCCTTTGACATCTCTGTAGTCCTCAGCTTTGTATTCAAAATAAATGCAGCTTAGGTCTACATCTTATATAAGTGGTGACCCTGGCAGCATGACAGAGTTTCTGCTGAATTTGCTAGTGGAGCAGTTCAGTAATGCAGCACAGAGAAATAAGGCTCTCAATCTTGGAAGTTCAGCAAGGTCCATTCTGGCCTGTGAGACCCTCGTGATCACCTTGCCCCGTGATATTTGGGGATTGCCTTGGCTTGATTCTTTCAGGAGTAACTTTATGCCTCTCCTAGGCAGGCTATATAAACCCCCATCATCTGAACAAGCTTTTCAGGTAGATTAGGGAAACATCTCTCAGGAAGAGACCAGGAATATGGGAACATGGGTTGGAGCCAGAGAGGGAGGTGGATTTAATGGCCCTCTGATGTCTCATGTGGTCCTGTAACTTTGCTGTAGAGCTGTAAAGACTAATTTCAGTTCTGTGTAATCGGTGCTTATTGCACTGTCTTGGGGACAAATGTGTCATTACTTCCCACATCGATTATCATCTTTGTAATAGATTTGTTCATTTAATCGTTATTTTACTGTCACTTATGGAGATCTYGGAAGGCCTGTGCAGTTACAGAAGCAATCTTGCATGAAATGCAGAGTGATGTGAACCCAGCCTTGGCCAGAGCTGAAGCCAAGACCTTGCCTTATGGTGATGATCCAGCCAACTGCTAGCAAGTTCTCCATGGACAGAAATAGAGCAGGGTCAGGGAACAGAAATGCCTCGGGCACGGATGTGCCTGGGTGGCAGGGTAAGAGTCCCAGGGACCCTCACGTTTTGCTTTTCAGCCAAACACATCTTCCATCAGCTTGCAGGCAGTCAGCAAACAACCACCGTGATGAGGCCAGTCATGAACGTTAATATATTTTATTCTATAATATATTAAACTCTCCGAGGGCAAGACACAAACTTTGTTGGAGAGCTTCTAAGCTGCCTTATAGACACGATTGTTGCAGCCATTATAGACACGATTGTTGCAGCTACCAGCAAGAAGCTTTATGGGCCTGTCCTGAAATTATCCTCCATCTAGAGCCTTGGATTGCCATGGATGCTAGCAGGGTTAGTGTCCTCTAGAAACTCAGTGCAAGAAAGGCCACTTGTTGAGCAAACTTTTGCTGCTGCGGAAGTAGCATGATACCCAGGGAACTAAYCACTGAGTTGCTTCAACTCAGTTTAAAAGAAGGTTCAAAAGGGAACTGGCAGCTGCTGCTTTCCGTGTGATGYCTGAACACCCCAGCAATATTCATTAGAATCACAGAGAGAAATGTGTACMTCACATCTCCCTCTCACAGTACTGCCAAAGCTGTCCCCCTTGGTTTGGGGTTAAGGATTGGTCATTGCCTTTATCACTGAAGCAAGTGATAAGCACTGATCCTGTTGGGGTCGTCTATTTCCCAGTCATTTCCCGTCTTTCCTTGTGTTAAAGCAGCCACAGCCAGACAGGGTGCCTGGTGGAGATGAGGGCAGCTCTCACAGTGCAAGCAACACACACAGYGTAAAGCAGAATCCTGCCACGATGCTGCAGTTGCTCATGGCAAGCACAGCAGTGCTGGCAACACGTGAGCACGGAACCTAAAGGCAATAGATGCAATCCTGGAAAAGAGAAGCATGGCCAGAGTGTCCTCCTCCCATCATTTTCTGCCTCATGGAGACAACTGCTTTGTGCAGTGTTCCAAGGTGCAGTTCTTCAGGGCAAGCCTGCAGGCACTCTACATTTAACTTTTATTATGTGAATAACACTAAAGTAACTATGCACAATCTGATTCAAATCGGCAAAATCGGAAAGTTTCAGTGCAGATTGCTTCATCTTTTTCCTGAATTGCCACAGCACTATGTGGATGTGTCTGAACTTCTGTCTCAATTCACTGCTCTGAGTTTGGCCCGTGGGCTACAGTAGGTTGCCCTTGACAGAATGTATGGGACGTGTATGGGATGCCCTTGGGACATATAGTCCCAAAGAGGCCCTGTGGAAGTTTAGCCATRAGAGAGAGTTTGAATCCCTCTTCAAGAAGGTAGAGGTGAGTCAGAGGGATCCCAGTGGAGGAAGAGGAGGATACAGTTTTCCCCTACAGCAAAGCTGAAAGTGCAGCTAGTTGTCCCCAAACCTGTGGTGACATGCCTCTGCTCACCCCAGCCACATCCCCTCTCCATCCTCACACCATCTCTGGCTCTTGTTTAACCCCAAGATGAACAAGTTCCTCAAGTTAAACCAATAGCAAGATAATCTTGTGAAAACTCTGGCTTATGGTGTGGCCACTGAATAATGACACTTGAATTCTGTCAAGTTGTGCATTGCAAGCTCTAGGGTAAGGTTGTTTTAGAGGAAGAAGTGTTGTGCCTCACCTCTAATTGTGCTGGTCTCTTGTATACGTTAGCTTGCTTTGCTGAGTTGTCTTTGGTTGCAGTGTTTCACTAAAGAAGAGCTGGGCTGGCRTGGGAAAGGCCAGAGGACACTGTGCTGCTTGTTCTTGTTCCTCAATAATTTTGTTTAGTTAGTTGATTCAAAAGCTTAGGAAAATGTTTATGGCAGTCTACCCCTTCCTGTTCCCACTCATCTGATCAGAAACATCAGAAATAATTCTTATCACTAATGGAAAAGGAAATAGAAAAGACTGTCGTTTCAGTTATGTTCAAGGTATGTTCCTTTCCCTCATACAGAAACATCCTTTGTTTCCATCCCCTCCCAGCAAAGCAGATCTGTGATTACACATCTTTAGGTGGCATGTGACTCGTGATGAATCTTCGGTCTCTCCTTAGTAGTGGAGGATGTGGCTTAGGGATGCGGAACACAAATGTGGCTCCAACAGCATCTAAGAAACTACAGATGAGGGAGGAGGAATTAAGAAGCCAGGAAGAATATGGTTGCAATAATCTGAAGGGAGTGCAGTTCCTGGATGATGTGTGATTCTAAAATGTTTTCCAGTTTTTGGACCTCACAGGATGAGGGGTGCATTGAATTCGGGGAGGAACCGTGCTGCTGTGTGCGGCAAAAGGAGCGCGGTTGTGTAGCAGGACAAGTAAAGGGAGGCTGGGGGCAAATCCATCTCTCAAGGTAAAATCCTGGCAATGGAAGAACCCTCAGAAGTTACTGAGTTCTCTTTTAAATTGGTGTGGACACAAAAATACATACACTAATTACTAGGTTGCTCCTTTTTGGTTGGTGAGGGACACTTCCTGCTTAAGATTGCAATTGGCTTTTAATTATTTGGAAGCCTGGCTTTCCATTGTGGCTCACAGCAATTATCCATTTCTTTTCCTCTCAGAAGATACGGAGCAGCTTTACGCAAGCAGGAACTTTTTATGATGAAATGGCCATTAATTATTGCAGCATCATTTCCAGTCTCRTCACTCCACTTTGCCAAGGAATCATAATTCAGCCACAAACATCTGCTTTATGCTGATGCTAATACCATGCTACAGAATGTCCTGCTTCAAGAACCTCTATTTATCTATGCAAAATGAAGTTGAAATTATTTTGATATGTATATATCTTAGGTTGACCACATGCTTTATATTATAGAAGTTGTCACCACAAAAACCACAGTCAAAAAAAATCTTCCTGCTTGCAAAGAGTTGGACAAGCATCTATTAATCTCCATTAAATATTTTTTAAAACATCAGCTCGTTATGAAGTTGTTTGAAGAGTTAACCTGAAAATACACATTGCAGTCAGTCCAAAAAAAATTGAACTCTCAAGCTCTTACTGTGGTTTGAAGGTTCAAAAGAAACGCTGTATTTTCGCTCAGGCTATTAATTATTGAGGACTGTCTGCTGCAATTAATTCCATCCTTTGAAACCTGAGAACAAAAGTATTGCTGGAGAGGGAACATGGCCTAGGGACTGGAACAAGGGGCAGGGAATCAAATCGGAGTTCCGCTTTCCAGGCTGCCCTCCGCAGGACATGGAGCTAGGGCCGGTTCCGGCAGGGAGCACCAAAATCTTTCCCTTAACCTCTGCAGGCGTCAGATCAGATCCAGGCATGTTGTGCCTCGCTTTGTTCACCTCCTGCAGTGTGTGTGTGTTAATGCTTGCAAAGGAAGCCTTGGGAAGCACAGGCGTTTGTAAAGAGCCCACAAGATGCTTGGTGCTGAGAGTAGTGGCATACACCTGTTGGGAATTTGCAGCATCCCAGTGTGCCCCTTCACCCACACACAAACTCACTTCCACGGCAGGGCTTGTCTGTTATCTGCCTCCCTCCGTTTCTTGCTTTTTTTCCTTGCGTTTGCTCCTCTCCTAAATATTTAGGATTTTTACATGACTCCCCATCCTTCTTTAGAGCTTTCTTCCTACATCTTTTAGTGAGAATTTGATCTCATCGCCTCCCCTCTCAGTTCCCTTTCTATTTTTCCAGGTATGTCTGAAGGAGAAGTGTTCTGTGTCAGTTGTGAGCCCCAAGCAGCAAGGCTGGCTCAGTTCAGCTTGGCAGGATGTCGAGCATATTACCAATTCTTTAAAAATAGTGAACACGGAAATAGTCACCATTCCCCCATGGGTCTGTGTGCTGCTCGTGGTGGCCACCTTGCAGGACTCACCCATGCACAGTTTCCTGTGTTACCAGTGTACATTCCCAGCCTGCCCTTAAAAACCAGTGAATTTCCAGGTGCTCCCAGCTGGAATACTGTGCCAGTCTGCTGGCTAAATTTGTACTCGAGACACCTGCATTTACATCCTGGCTTCTCATAACTGAAAACTGCAGAGACCATCCAGATCACAGATTTTAATCTCACTAGTTAAGCAGGAGCCAGAACTATGGATACATCCCCATCTTGGTTAATCCTGCAAGATGTATAGGACAGGGCTCACAGTGGACACCCTAAACAAATCATGGGAACATATCTTCACATGCAAAATGTTGCTATATTGGTAACTGTGATCTCTTCTTGTTTATGTAGAAACTGTATAGGAAAGAAATCAAGCCACCTTTCAAGCCAGCAGTGGGACGGCCAGAAGACACCTTTCATTTTGATCCGGAGTTCACATCTCGGACCCCAACAGGTCAGTAAGCTCCCATATGGTAAAAGATCTTCTTAGTGAGCAAGGTTATTCTTCCTTTCCTCCTCATTCCAACTGAATCAAAGAGTCTGATCATCTGTGGGATTAGTGGATCCTGCAATATCCAGCTGGAAGCAGAGTATTCTGCATTTCCAAGGAAAGAARCTTCTAAACATTTTATCAACCCCACACTGATTATGTCTCAGGAAGGATAGAGCTTGCATTTTTATAGCTGTTGGTTATTTATTTTACTGCTATTATTKTTGCTCATGTTAGTTGAATTTAACTGTTTTTAATTAGATCAGCATGCACTTTGCAGCATCTTGCATCTCTGCAAGTTACCGTGTAATTTTATATTCCATAGATGTTCCCTTTAATTATGAAAACGCTTAGGCTAGAGATGGAAGTCGATGCATGRTTAACAGTGATGGGTAATGATCAAGTTCTCTGATCAGTGGAGTTACGTCAACAAGTAGTTTGGCCTACCACGTTTAGTAAATGCTTGTAACATAAATGCTTTTTTAATGTTTTATATATATGTATATGTATATGTGTATGTGTATGTGTATGTATATGTATAGGTATATGTATAGGTATATGTATATGTAAAAGGGAAGGTATTACTGCACTTGGACAGTTTTCTGCTTCAAACTAGCCCAAACCTTTATTCAAATCTGAAGTTCTAATCCCCTTTCTTGGGATAGGAGATAGTGGTACATGGTGAAATATGTTACCCCTCTTGGTTCCTAGGTTTTTGGCGTTTTTTCCAAGTCTGAGGGTGCACTGGCTTTCACAAGCCATGAGAAGAGCTACAGTTCAGCCTGTTTGGGCCCAAGTGGAATGTGCACCCATCTGCAATGCATGTTAGTGGTGTTCTAGTATTCCTACTCTGCTGTACAGAAGGAAGTGGTCTTTGGATACCAGACATTTCACAACTGWTTTTAGCTTTAATTCAGACTTCCAAGGAACCCCTGTGCCCTTTTCTCTGAAACTCTGGCAACTGCAGGTTAGTCTGTTCTTGGGAGAATTCGAGGCCCTGGTGCTGCCCTGGAGAGCCTCAGAGAAGCACGGAGTGCTTGGATTGCTGTRGAAGTTCACCCTCCATCAGTTTTAGTGTCAGGAAAACCCTCGTATTTCATGCGTGTGCTGGATTATATTGCAGACTCTACAAGTTAGTGGTATTGCTGATTCAGTGTAATATTTCAGGCAGAGCACTGATTTGGAAGGCCTGCTGAGAGGAAATGATCCGTTGTGATACTGTGATACTGTGGAATGTGGCCTGAGAATCAAATCCTATGGTTTAAAAATAGATGTGATAGAAACGTGAGTTGCTTTGCTCTTCCGAGTGGTAAAAGGCTCTTGCAAATGACAGCAAGTGTTCTGCAGCCCCTGGGCTGCCCACGCTCAGCCCTGCTCTGTTTTCCTTTGCCTGCCTCCACTCAGGGCCTTGTAGTGGTAAGTCCAGTCCCAGCTGCAGCTGGCTTTGTGTCAGGGCCATCTCTTTGCTTGTGCCGCTGCTGCACTGAAAAATCACACCACACTGGGGGGAAAAAAGCAAGTAAGCAGTCCCCTGGTGAGGTTTTGAGTTGACCTTGGCCATACAGTTGCCTGACAAGATCAATGAGGAAAGGCTTAGGATATATGAAAGAGAATGCTTAAAGTAGCATTTCACCTCCAAAAATCTGTATTTAAACCTTGTCCTGATGGCAAATTATGAGTCTAGCTTAGTGAATGCTGACTGGTTGGGTTGACCAAGTAGGGAGAATATCCTAAGAGAGTGTTGTAGAGCTGTACACATTCTCATTCCAGTGCAATCAAACAAGAACCCTTTTTATTTTGTGGGTTTTTTCTGTTATGACATAGGACACATGCAAATTCACCCTGTCACTAACATATAAAAGCACTTTAATAGTAGCTTAGTTTTCACAATGACAGTGCAGTTGCCGAGTTTCAATGAAGCTGTCAGAAAGATATTAACAAAAAAAGGCACAGATACACACAGTCACTTTGCAGTCTGTCTTTGTGAAGACGTTCTACTTCAGGACACAGTTTGGTGTCCAAGTTTTGGCTCCAGTAACTTGCCAGCCTCCTAGCTGGCTGTATCACAGAAGCCCTTCWGCAGCCAGGGGTTAAATCAGCTTTCCCTGCGTTCCTAAGCTCTGTTCTGAGCAAGCCAAAGATGCACTTTCTGGCATGATCCCTTCATCTCTAGAAGTTCAGTTTCACAGCATTTCTTCTCAGGAATTCATCTGACTGGAAGAGTCACTTTTTTCTGGCCATTTGTTTCCCAAATCCGCTACTGTTGGATTCATTTGTGCTGAATCAGCTTACAGGGAACAGGGGGCTGAAATGATTCAGGTTGAAAGTAGCTGTTTGAACAAGGATCAAGCCACGCTAGCTAGCGAGATCACCAGCTTACTATCTGGCTTACAGTGCACTCCTCAAGTGCTTGTACTGACATAAATAACAGTACAAGAGCAGGGAGGAAAGAATAAGTGTGAGGAGGGAGCATCCTTGTCTGGCTTTACTGCTGAGAAAAAGAATGTAAAATTTCACCTTATTCTGCAAGTAAGATAATAATGCTTGCTAACCCCAGTGAAATACAGTGAAGTAAGTCATTTAAGATGATTATGATTTCCACTTCTAGAAATAAAACCACTATGCAGGATCTGTGCCTTTGTTTGGGTCTAACTCAGGCATATCAAATGATTATGGATTTATCAAGACTAGGAAAAAATCTTTAGATTTCATGCCTAATTAGATACTGCATTTAATTAATGTGGTTTGAACACGWTTTTGCACTTGGCACAGATTTTTCAAAGATACATTCATATGATGGGTGTATCAGGTCAGCAGTGATCAGTATTTGATGTTGAAAACCAAGTAATTAGTAGTTCTTTCACACTGATAAAGAGATGGCAGCGAATTATGAAGGAATAGTTATTTTCAGGTAGAAATGACCTGCCACTTACAGTGTGGAGCTGACTCATAACTCTTCTAGAGTTCAGGAGTGTTCAGATTTGAATTGGTCTCATTCCCCTTTCAAAACATGCATTCTTTTTCTTAATTAGTCCAGCCTGGGAAATTATTGCCACTGTAAGAAGCGCCTAGTGATGCAGGAGGTTTGGAGTGACTCACCCCCCTGTGTTTGCAGAGACAGTGCCTGTCAATACACTAAGATAAACAAGGARCCTACGTCATTTTGTCCAAAACATGTTTATCCAAAGGATGGGAGGGAGATCTAACTTGCTGTGCTTATTCCTGACGTCCAGCAAAGTTGAGACTGCTCTGTATGGGATACAGAATGAGCTGCAGTCTGCGTTTCCCTTATTACTGGATAGATCAGTTCCCTTTGCTGCATTCCAGCTTCAGAAGGACTATTCTGAGTAACCTTCCTCTGGCCGATAGGCTTGTAAAGAGAATGTCCCCACGGAAATGCTTACGTTCTCGCGTGCTGCCGGGAGGGCAGGCACCCTCAGTGCCCCACAGCGTCCCCCTTGACACTCACCCCTGGTGCTCACGGTGTAGGCAGGTGAGTCAGATGTCAGGTTCAGAGGGGCTGTATGTTCTTGAATCTTGTGAAACAGGGTAGTTACACAYTCCCTACAAGGGGGCAGCATTTTACAGGGGGTTTAAGCTCTTAACTTTGCTGTGGTAACTCACATGTTGCACTGGAAAAATATGAAGGAAGAGATGATCACAAGGACAAAGAGAAGGTGAGAAAATCCGTGTAGCACAGGTTTTATATTTACCCCAGGAATGGTTGGCAAATGCTTCTCTTACTTGCTTATGATCTAGAGCAAAACATATATGTGATGAAGAGATCTCCTTAAAGCTTTTCAAAGCTTTAAGTGCAAATCTTTCTACTTTTGCAGAGTGATAGCACAGGTACCAGGAACTGCTCTTTAGTTGTTTGGTTCTTAGGCAGAGTAGTTCAGACCTCTTTGAACTCATCACTCTTTCCATTTTCAGGGAGGGTGCAGGGAGAAAATCTGCATGAAGGTAGTTTAAAACACCTCCCGCTATGTTGCTGCCCTGAGGACATGTCTGTGGCTGTGGCCTCTTCCCTGGAGTGGGCCAGAGCTCCTGAGGACGTTCCTGAAGGATCCTTACGAGGCCGGGAACCGTCACAAGGGGACCGTCATGTTCTCGCTTCTGATTCTTTGTCCTCCACTTTCTGCTGGCCCATGCAACTCACTTCCTTACTGGATAGCATTTGACCCTTAYAATTTCTGTAGCCAAAGTGTGCTGCATGGGAAAGAGAGAGCAACTTCCAGCTTTTTGCACTCCCTTGAAAATCCCTCCTGAGCCAAAAGAGGTCCAGCCTTGAAGCTGTCCCTTCTTTCTGGCAGCCTRGCCAGCCTGTGCCTTCCCCCTCTGCAGAGACTCCTGGCGCTTTCAGGGCTTTGCATGAAAATGAAAATACAGTGTGAAAGAGCCTCTCTGCTCATGAGGGGAAGTCACTGCATACAATATCACCCCACTGCTCCCCAGAGGAAAGGGAGGGAGGAAGCACATCAAAGTCTTCATATGGAGGTGGATTGTATTCACACGAATCTGCTAATTTGGCAGGGTTTGTTCATGACTAGCAGGGGTGACTTTGTTGCAGGTGCTGTGCTATTATTTTCTAGTCTTTTGTTCAGCTCATGAAATAATTTTCCTTTTTTTCCCCTGCAGATTCCCCAGGTGTTCCTCCGAGTGCCAACGCTCATCATCTTTTCAGAGGATTCAGCTTTGTTGCCTCTAACTTGGTGCAGGAGCCTGCACAGCAAGACACACACAAAATCACCGTCCATCCCATTGTGCAGGTACTGATGCTGCTTTTACATTTCACATTTGATGGGCAGAGGCACCTGGGCATGTTCCATTTAAACTGTGAGGCAATTCCAATTCTCACTGGTCCTTCACAGCTATCCAACCCTCATTTGTTTATACACAGCTTGAAAGAGGTGGAAAATGAGATTTTTTTCCCCCAGAGGCTTTTATCCTTCTGCCTACAATCTCCATTGCCTTTACAAAGGAAAGAGGAACCACACCTTTTCACAAGTCAGATGAAAAGTTCTTCCAAGTACTGGAAACTATTCCAGTTGTGCATACAGGGCAAGGAATGAAGTGCATTCCAGGGAATTCGTTCGTGGGTTTCCCTTGGGTTATGTGATGGAGTCTTCATTGACAGAGGGGCCTCATGAAACACTGCTGTAGATGTGGAGCCCAGGCCCCGGGTGTAGGAGGTTTCCGTGTTCCTTGTGCTGTCACACAAGAGCCCAGAGCAGCCTGATGGGGGATAGACAATTGCCAGACACTTGATACTTGCCTGATACTCCCTACAACATGCTCTCCAGTTACTGCAATTTGCTGCTGGTCTAGGTSGGGTGTAACTGCTACAAATTGCTCAATATGTTAGAGGAGCTGTGGATCAGGAGAGAGAACTGTGCTGCTCAAAAATGTGCTCCCAGGGAAGTTCCTCTCTCCCATGGAAAAAGTTATAAGGGGAGGATCTTTGCCTGAAGTATCAGCTTTCATCATRTTAAAAAAAAAAAGAGTTTATCATGGGATATGTTATATTCTTTAACATTTTCTCATGGAACCATAAGTGAAAYGTTTCCCAAGTAATTTTGTTCTAGAATATTTGTGTGCTTTTTATTGGTTTTGTTTGTAAATGTTTAYTGCATATAACAAGAGTGTGTTTTACAATTTAGAAGGTTCTCTCTGGAGTTTAGCTAGTGAGGATGCATTTTGAGACAGAGAATCCTGGAGACTTTTCAGAGCTGCTGGTCATCCCYTTAGTCCTTGAATGTTATTTGCAGTAAGGCTTCAGATTTGGACTTTGGAAAGCCATCATGATCTAACAAATCCTGCTGCCCAAATAATTTCCAAAGGTCTTATCTACTAGTGGTGSCATGGTTTGTATTATACCTTTCAATAAATAAAAGCAGAAATTGTAAAATGTCTCCCTATATCACTAGCAATATAATTTGTTAGGTGGGATTGACCTAAAATAATAATTTCTCTCACACATTATAGTCATAATCAAATGTATTCCTGACAAGAGCTCCAGTTTGCATGTGTGTGGTATCTTACTAGAAATTTGTAAAGCTCTTACTGGTTTATAAGTGATCTGGTTCTTTAGTAATTAGAAACAAGTTTATCTTGTCCAGAAATATGTGTTTGGCAGAGGATTCGGGCACACAGTTCCCTAAGAATTTCAGATGGGAAGTGGTTGTATGCATTCCATAAAGAATTCAGAAAATCAAATCTGCTTTTGCCATTATTTCTACATGGATGTCTCCATCTTACAGACCAAAAAGTGCTAAAAAGGGTGGGGACCTATTTGTTTAGGTAAGAGTCTCAGATTTTTTGAACTGTGCTTAGGAACATACCTAAGGAATAGAGAATTCTGTGAGGAAAATGAGATCAAGCACTTCCTTTACTGACACTAGGCTAGTCCTTGCATTTCCCTCCCCGGGTCCTGATTGCCCTGTTTCTTTTGTCTTCCCCYATAGCAGCTACATGGGAACAATATTCACTTTACAGATGGATATGAGATCAAAGAGGACATAGGAATTGGCTCCTATTCTGTGTGCAAGAGATGCATTCACAAAGCAACGGAAACAGAATTTGCAGTGAAGGTAAGAAATCTTTCTGGTAGATGCCAGAAATATGGAGCAGTGGGTGGGTCAGGGGATCTATTACTGGCTCATTTCTTGCTGGTACAAGTGGCCCTTTTTCTTCTTTCAGAAGATGACAGATTTTTGATAAGCTTTATGTTATTTCTTACATTGTCATCTCATGAAGTTCCAGAGTGGAAAGACCTTTACAGTCTTGCATGGAAATCCTGTTAACCATTTCAGACATTCTCTGTGCTTTTTAGATAAGACATCTTTGACAGAACCTAAATTTAAATCAACCCAAATAAACAAAGTAACATACCAAATGATGGCAAAGTTGAATTCTCTATGATTATGAAATTGATTTTTTTTCATTCATTCTGTAGTAATTCTGACATTGTGTATCAAAATAGAAGAARTTTGTTAGTGGCATAGCAATTTACAGTAACATGGTTCCCCACTTGATCCTTAGTCAAGAAATGCTTTGTAAGCCATGACCAGCAGCAGTAGGAGGGCTAGCAGGCTGCTAGGGTGTATATACAAGAGGGATCTTTCCTGGTAGGCAAGGATGTTTTTTTCAGCAGAATTCCTTTGGAAGGTCACACTCAGAGGACTGTGTTGCAATCCCTGTTCAGCGTTCCTGGGTAAATGGCACCCAGCTATTACAAAGACCAGAAGAGACCAGTGTATGTGGCAAGAGATTGTGGAGATACACAGTAGAGGAAGTCTCAAATACTGAAGTTTCTTTAGGCAAAAAGAGAGTAGTAATTACAGTACTGACAGGTTAGAGAAGAATTGCTTTGTTCTTTCATCAAAAATGAGAAAAATTTGATTAAATCTGTGAAATTACTCATATGATGAATTTGAGAAGACTAACAGACAATAAAATTATATCCTTTTAGTCTGTGTGGTCTCTTGGGAGAGTATTAGACATTAGCACAAGGCAAAAAAATAGTTTTGTGAAGTCGGTACCTAAAGAAATATACAACTTTCAGTAAATGAAGAATTTGTCCCCATTGCCTGTCTACTTTTTTATTTTTTTTAACTCAGAAAAGATATATAAGCTTATATATAAGGTTGTGGGTTTGTTGTGAGATCTAATGATGACAGCTTAATGAAGTGATAGAAATTCTGCACTCCATGAGATAAGTTATAGTCAGTAGAATACTAATAAACATTTTTTTTTCTTTTTATTTTCTTTGCAAGAATGGTTATCAAGCTGGATACTGATCCATGAAAGTTTTGAGGTCTGCCAGCAGTGGCCCCAAAAATCTGGAAATCACTAATAATTCACAATTTGTTGATGTTAGTGTTCAAACAGCAGTAGAGTTTTCTAGGCTTCACCTACACCATGAACAGGAGCACAGACCTAGCAGCTGGTCTATGGGCTTGTACCTGAATGCTCTAGGATTTTCATGTTTAATGAATGGAAAAATCACAATTTTTGTAGTGTCCAGTTCGTTTGTCAGCAGATGGCATTATGTGAGACAGGGTATGGGTTTTGTGTAACTAAATGACATCAGTGATGAACAAAACGYGTATTAAAATCCTGTGTTCTAGATTTTATTTCTATCCGTTGCTGACAGTATCATCAATGTAATAGAGCAAGCATGAAACCAAAATAGAAAAGCCCTGGTCCTCAAAGATGTCTGAATGCCTGAACTCAGTAGGTTTCAGCATTTTCTTAGCAGTAATAGTTTAAAAGTTCCTTGGAGAATCTGGACCAAACTAAACACATGGATGTTCCAGTGTTAACATAATTATATAGTGTAATTATGTATCAGTTCTTTTGATATGCATCCCTTACCTCCATAAAAAAATCATTGTGATTAGATTATTTTGATTTCTCTCAGTAAGTATAATTTGTTAATTGTTCCCTAATGCATAGTGTTCACAGAAAAGCAAAAAAGAAACATGTATGGTGGTAATTTAGGTAATTTCTATGATAGGCAGCTGCCCTGTTGACCTGATACTTGGTCACCTCATTGCAACTGCCTTGCTGGGATGGAGCACTGACAGCTCCGCTGACATCATTCCCTCTCCCCACAGGACCTGCCAGTAGTGAAGGAGTTAAGGGAAAGACATGGGTGCAGGGAGATGCACACGGTGTTACTGGGTGAGAATCCCTCTCAGTGCAGGGAGAGTGCTGCTCTCCCGGCCTTACTTACTAGGCTGTGAGGTGCTGGKTTGAGGCAGCGGGGTGCTGAACCAGAGTGACTGAGTCAGACCTGCACACAGAAGATAACTCAGCAAAACAAAACCTTCTCCAACTCAGAAAAGGAGTATATTTGTTAAAATACAAAGCATTTCGTCACTTTTGCTAGCCTCCTGCAACAAACCGGCTTACAGATCTGATAGATGTCCAACAGGAGATACAAGTGCCTTGCTGCCGTTGTAAAAGCACTTGAACACATGTGCAGTTTAGCTCCTTTCAGTGGTTGGTGAGACCCAGGCAYGTCTCCCACTACAGAAATCCCTCCGGGAGCCTCTCTGCCCCTTTGGGCACCTGGCTGCTTCTGCGAACCCAGTCGCTGAAGCTGCAGAGGAGACTTYGCCTGCAAATTCTTTCCCCTCTTCCATACTGTGCTTAAAGATGCCATTCTAATAACAGGCTCTACATTTATTTTAGACATGCCCTCAGGCTCCTGAATACAATATTTAAAAATTTAGTCTTATGCTCTTCCATTCCTAAGACCATTTAAATACCATGCAACAAAAAACCTTGCAAACACCCACCCTTGCAAACTGAGTCTGCTCAGAAGCTGGTAGCAACCTGCCTGGGTCAGTATAGGTTTTTTTGTGAGCCTGATAGGTTTTTTTGTGAGGTTGATTTAGTGAGCCTTTTCTCATACTCCACTGCAAATACATGTTTTTTATTATTATTTCTTATTTTTTCCCCATCTCATTCCCAAGTGAAACTAGTGTACAATTATGAAATACATGTAAATATGTTTTAAAAAATAGTTCATTCTTATGAAAAGTGCATAAGAGCTGGGAAAAAAAAGAGCATTTTTCATCTGACAGATCTCTACTGTGTTTCAGAGTTTTATGATAAGATATTGATCATTCTGACTATAGTAGACAGAATGGTTTGTAATAGCTAAGGGAATGGCGCTACTGAGCACTCTTACAAGCATCATGTGGTTACAAGCAGAAGAAAATAAGATCAAATTACTTCAATTAGATCAGCATCTAGAGAAACAGGTCGTTTAAAGAAAAGAGTGATGCTGGAGAAGAAGAGAGGGATTCCTGTGAGTGGAGGAAGGTCTGTGGTGGAAGCCTAGAAGGACTGAAAGCTCTCGACTGTCAGTGTTGCAGGGTTGGGTGGTATGGGGCCAGCTTCAGCAGCTCCAAGCCTTTTCCTCTCCCTGTCAAAAGGAATTCCTCGTTGGTTAAATCTTAAGGATTGTTAGTCTTCCCAGGCTATTAAGAGCCAAGAAAAATGGCTGGATGAAAGGACAGAATACACGTTTCTCCTCCCGATAAAGAAAACATACAGTAGGGATAGTCACAAGTGATAAATCCAGTTTTGTCGATGCAGTATTACAATGGATCTGGATCTCAAAAGGCATGTGATTTTCATGACCTTTTCCTATGTTTGTAATGCACTAACCAACCACCTGGTTGCAGAAGTCCCAGCTCCGTGAGCGATGCCGAATTCTGCAGCCTGGCTGCCTCTGGGCTGCGAGTTCGCTTGTGCTAGCGTTCCAGTAGGAGCTGCACTTCCCGTGTAACTCTGGCAATTTGTAAGCACTGAAAATCCATGTGTCTTGGCATGTCTGAGACATACAGGCTGGGGAGGAGTTACGTATTTAGTAGCTGTAAAAAATATAATACCAGAGAAATGGTGTCAACATGTGATCAATAGACACAAGTTGGTAAGTCTGGAGAGATGTTTTTAGCAGCCCTATGTAATGAGACATGCCATATACCTCCATTTACATGCTGATGACAGCAAGTGACATAGGCACTGTAGGGCTGTGCTGAAGGGCTTCCAGTTGTTTCACAATCTCTTCAAGCTCCATTTTCCCATATACTGGTGTTCGTGTATCTGATCTGCTCATTTTGAGGCAGTATTGTGCTAGCATGAAGGCAGGAGGCTCTGCAGCAGTATTTAGTTAGCTCTGCACCATTTCTTCATGACCCGTGACTATGTCAGGAGTTCAGTGCAGAATGTAGACAGCATGAATGACAAAAAGAGGTAGTCTTCCAAGATTGACTGCAGGGCGATGCATCATCTGGGATTCTTTTAAGGAAAATAGAAATCCCAAACACATATGCCTTCATTTACTAAAACAGGCAAAAGAAAAAGAAAACAGAGGAAAAAAAAAAAACAGTTGAGAAGTCATCAAATCTTGACAGYCGTGGGATCTGTAATGCTAGACAGCCTTGCTTAGATTGGTTTCTCCTGAAGCACAGAAATGTCCCTTGAAATGAAACAGCCAGTAACTTTTCCAGGGAGAGTTTGTGCCTTTTTTTTGTTGATTTGGGAGGTACCGAGTACCCTGGTGGCCGAGGATAAATTCTTCAGTAATGTAGTAGGCAGGTAAGTAAAAGGTTTGTTGGGGAACYACAGCTTTGTCAGCCCTGAGCCAGCTGCCTGATCTACACTGCTGGGTACCAAACCCCTGCTGACACAGTCCCCATTCCTCCTGCCTCCTCTTCCTCTGCCTTCAAGACACCCTCGTGCAGAGGCCAGAACACAGCATACACGCACAGGCTGTAAGGTCAGAGCCACTGCTAAATACATCCACGTGGCCTCACGTCATTTAGGGCAGAACTGCAGAAGTTACCTGCTCSTAGAGCAGAGCAGGACTCTAACAAATAGGATGGGCTGAATAGGTCTGAATCTAGTGTTAAGTCCTGTCTCAGTTTTCAATTGATTCTTAGTCGTGCAAATTCCTCTTGACTACACTAGGTGTTTGTCACAGTAAGGGTTGAGAGCACTGGYATGTGAGACCTCACACTGAGGGAAGAAACAGCATCAAGAAGAATATAATCTGATGAAGAGTTTACCCCCC